ACAGCTGGGCTGCAGAGTGAATGAGTGAGTGCTCCGGCAGCCTGGGCAACTGAGTGAGACTCCTGTTTCCATGTAAAAAGTGAACAGGGAGCCAGCTCAGGGTGTGCAAGTTCCCGAGGTGAAGCATCCATACCTCCTAAACAAGGAAAGGTTTGATGGGACTGTAGCAAAATATAAGTAACAAAACAAACTGAAAAACCCTAAGTGACAATAAACTGGAGAAAGTTTCAGTTTGAGAGGAAGGATGACTGTACTTGATTCTTATTCTACTACAAGCCTACATATATCATTAATTTTCCTTCCTTCCTTTTTTTTTTTTTTAACAAGGTATCACTATGTAGCTCTAACTATCCTGGAACTCCCTCTGTAGACCACGATGGCCTCGAACTCAGAGACCTGCCTGCCTCTGCTTCCTGAGTGCTGGGATTAAAGGTGTGAGCCACAAAGCCGAGCTCCAAGGACGGAAATTTTAAGAACTTTCAGAAAAATCTTGAGTCGTTTACAAATAGGCATATAGTACTAAGCTGTGTTTATCTTATCCACACCACTACAATTTTAAAGTTTCCTTAAAGTCAGAGAGCAAGGAGCCCAACAGGAGCTGTTTCATACAGCTGTTAGTATTTAATCGAAGAGGAAACAGGATGCTGACTGCGGCCAGGCTGTCCGAGAAGGGGGGATGGATTGTGAAGTCCGTCAGTGGCCACGATGGTTCTATCCATGACATCGCTGAAGTTTACCTTTCGTCTCCTCCTTGACAACAGAAAGTTTTGACTGTTTGGCCTCAGGTGTTGATGGAGAGTTCAGCGAAGTTCCCGACGCTTTGCGGAGAGACATCATAAGCAATGCCTCTTCTCACTCTCAAAACTATTCCTCTAGAAAATTCACAAACAAATCAAAATCGTGCAGGGACTTTCAGGCCGCCCCGCAGTTCTGCAGGCAAAAAAAGCAAATGGACAGAGACCCCTGGAGGGTTTATGTTCAGATTGGAATTCAGAATTCAGTTAGCATGGTTTCCCTTCCCTGGGGAGTGTTCTCTCGGACAGCCTGGCACGTCAGAGAGGTGTGTGTGGGTCAGAGTCAGGACCTAGCCCCGGCAAGTCAGAGTCCGCCCTACGCGGTGGGTGGGCGGGTCAGCGCGGCCCAGCTCCACGGGCTCGGGTCGGGCAGGGCTCCCACGGTCCCTTCAGCAGAGGCCGGCGGACACTAACACCGCAGCTGAACCCACAGATTGTGTTTCCCGCCAGGCCTCGGTCGGTAGGCCCTTTCTTGGAACGCCCTGCGTCGTCATAGCAACGCAGGACCCCGTGCCCTAGCAACCAGTGGTGTGGGCTGCCTCCGGCGGCGCCGTCACAAAAAAAAAAGAGAGAAACAGATGGAACAGTCTCCATATAGCTGTTTCTGTGTGCCTTTAATCGTGCATGGTAGCAATAAGGAAGACAAATATTTAATCGGGCTGTTGTCTCGGAATGAGACAGTCTCTAGTGGATGGGCTTCCGGCTGCGGACTGCGCAAGCGCAGGCCCAAGTGGCCACCCATCTCCCTCAGAGACTTCTCTGCGGCCCCGCCCGTGCGAAAGGGTATTGGTAGGAGTTGTTTCCGTCCTTGAGGTATTTTTATTGTTTTGGCTATTTTCTGAATCTCCCGTGTGGCTTCACACTCACAGAGATCCTCTTGCCTCTGCCTCCCATTTGTTGTAGTTAAAGGCGTGTGCCACCACGCCAAGCCCTACAAGTTCCTCTTTACAGCATGTGGACAGGGTTTTCATATTCATCTCTGAGTGCTCAGGTATGAGCCTGCAAATCTCGCGTCTGGAGCCCAGAGAGTGGGAAGTAGGCCAGTATCAATATTTAACGTAGCTTTATTAAAACATAAGACTTTAAATTAGCACTTTTTTTTTAAAAGAAAGGAGTTGGCGCCGGGCGTTGGTGGCGCACGCCTTTAATCCCAGCACTCCTGAGGCAGAGGCAGGTGGATCTCTGTGAGTTCGAGGCCGGCTGGTCTACAGAGCGAGTTCCAGGACAGTCTCCAAAACAATACAGAGAAACCCGGTCTCGAAGAACAAAAATAAATAAACAAAAAAATAAATATAAAGGAGTTGGCTGCAGAGCCCAGGTTGACTTCAACCTTTGAAATCCTCCTGCCTCCATCTGGAATGCTAGGTTCACAGGCATGCACTAGCACACCTGAATTTATTTGAAGTTTTCCAGAAGAGATACTTCTTACTATCTAGGAAATTTAACTACAGTTTAGCCAAATACTTCCCACGGGCTCTAAAATTGCAATGTCTCATGTTGTGTAGTTGGTGGCAGTGGTGTGTATGAGTATGTGTGCATTTGCGTGTGCTTTACAACGCTCAGGAACAAGGCCAGAGCCGTCAGCTCTAGCTCTGTATCATTGTTCAGTTCGCACCTGATGTGCCTACGGGGAGAAATAGCTTCAGTGCCAAGCAGTACTTAGCGCGTGATAAAAAACTATGAGAATAACCTGTCTCACTGAACAGTAAATCAGGCTTCTACCGAGAGCAAAGTGAGCAGCCATGCCAGCCTTGAATATGGAATCCCATGAGAGCTTTCTCTTGTTAAATTTACAAACTGTTAACTCAGCTTTGTAAATCAGATGCACAAACTTGGTTGAGGCCAAATGGGCCCTAAACTTCCATAACCTCGCCCCCCACCCCATGTTGTTTCTTGCCTCTGCATGGCAATGAGTAGCCAGGAACACTTAATCCCTGAAGCGACTTCTCCCATCTCACTGCCTTGCGCTGTACAAATAGGTGGGAACACTTAGGTCGTAGAAGGTAAAAGGAGTTACTTTGTGCCTGTTGCTCCCATAGGTGCTTCCATGGAAAGAATATCGTAATTCCAACTACTGATCATGATGCATCCCTATGCTCAGATTGTTTGGAGAGGAAACGCCAGTACACTTGTGCTGCTATAACAGAATACAAGATGGGCAGTCCGTGGAGAACGGCACTTATGTCAGGTGTGGAGACTGGGAAGAGTCAAGTGCTGGCAGGTTCAATCTGCTAGCTCAGTAATCTCAGCACTTGGAAGGTTGTGGTCTGGGCTGTGGAAACTGTCTCAACCCCAGCCCCACCTCCCCAAAAGCGACCACAGTAGAGAAGCTAGGGTGAGTCAATGCCACTGCAAATGCAAATAGGGCCCGGTGTATGTACTGGTAACCTGTAACCTAATTCTCTCCATTAGCCGGGTAAGAAAGTGCTGCTCAGTTATGTCTTCTCCTTCAGCTACCGTTGGCATATAAAGCTGCCTGGAAATAAGATGATAGACACTTACGACCATGAGGTAATAATGAATGCAGAGAAGTTACTTGGACAACAGAACTAGGTGTGTCTGTTAGCTTACTCCTCCTCTCCTCTTGAGACAAAGGTCTCATCATGTTGCCCCAGCTCATTTACAACTACTAGACTATGCTAGCCTTGAACCTGCAGCCATTCTGCTTCTGCCTGAGTGATGGCCCATGCCCGATAGTTTATGCTTCTCTGTGGTGCTGAGGATGCTCTAAAGCGTCATGGCTACCATGTTTAAAAATATCCTAAAACTTCTTAAATTATGCATTGTGGTCCCAAATAGTCTTGTGTAACGAATGTGGGATTGGAAAAAAAAAAAAACAGTAAAAGTTTCTGAACCTGCAACAACCAAAAATCATTTCAAAAGTGAAATGTGTGATGAATCCAGTGTTTATAACAGCACTCGCCAAGCTGTATCATGTGAACTCACCACAGTCTTAGTTCTGAGTAAACAACATGACCCCAGGAACACCACTTCAAACTCCTCTGCTTGGATCCCAGTCTGTGCTATTGTTATAATGTTTGATTTTATAGATTTACTTGTATTTCCTTGAAGTTGTGTGTGTGTGTGCATGTGAAGTGTCCCACCCGAATGCAGAAAGATCAGTCTCCACACATGCATACACTACACACACTGAGGGGCTTTTCTAAATATATTTATTTATTTACCACATTCTTCACATATGCAATATTTCGCAATTTGGATTTGAACACAAATTTAAGAAATTTTCAGAGGAATGTGAACAATACATTTTAAACAAATTGATCACACCAGTGATTAAAAATCTCCAAGAAGAGGTAATCAAAATTCAGAAAGAAAAAGCAAACAAAACCAGAAGCTATCTATCTTTAGTCTCTCTCTCTCTCTCTCTCTCTCTCTCTCTCTCTCTCTCTCTCTCTCTCTCTCTCTCTCTCTCTCTCTCTCACACACACACACACACACACACACACACACACACACACTTATAAAGTTTTGCTCCTGTGACCTAGGACATGCAGACCTGATTTGCAGGAGCCACTGCACAGTCCAAAGGACAAGGCCTAGACCAGGGCTTCTGCTCTCTTCACACCCAAGAATGAGCACATTGACTCACAGGCTGCATCTTACTGAAGCTACCCTTCAACAAGACAGACACCACCACAGGCCCTGTATGCCGTCCACTCACCTGAAGGCATGTTGAAATAGAGTCAAGATGAGGGTGAACATATAAAAAGGGGAATACCTGCATCTTTCCATTTAAACACACAACTTGAGGCAGTTCTGAAAATAATCCATTCTTTTTCTCAAGTCTAAATTAGCTATTTAAAAGCATTTTACAGAAGAAAAAAATCCATAAAGATTAAAAGACTCCAGAACTTTCCTACCAACTTACAGCTGATTGTTGCTATCTGCTGATTTCTCGGTTGCCTATTGAACAGAGGTTGGAGAAGGGCTCCAATTTCTGTTTCATCAACTAGCTGAATTTATTTCCTATATAAACTGGGCTTATATGTAATGCTTTATTTCAACAAAGGGTCGAACACTCCATATATTTCAAAATTATGTGCATAAGTGGTTTTCTTGTATGGTCACTTAAAATCATAGTTATCACCATTCACGAGTCTTATAGGAAATACTAAATCCCTTACCTTGTAGACAAGAAAGCATCATTCTTAACTAAAAAGAATTTTCACCCATTGGCACAACAGATAACAATACATGGTTTTATTGTGTTTTTAAAGAGTTCAGACAGCAGTTTTTAGGAAAGACTCCTGCTAGGCAACCAGCAATGTGGTAGCCAGTCTTTTTTCACAGAAGAACCTGCCTCCTTAAGGGGACTATACGTGTGATGTTTAAGACACTCTTATAATTCTAAGTGGTTCGCAGTCCTACACATGGCTACCACCTAGAATATCGGGAGGAAACCAATCCCTATTGAAAGGCCTTGTTGGGTGTGGCAGCATAGGTTTGTAAGCTCTGGCACCTGAGAAGGCTGAGGCAGGAGGATGTGAGGTCCACGCCAGCTTGGGCAGCAGAGAAAGAGCTTGTCTCAAAACAGATGGGTGAGGGGGAAGAGCAACTTTGATCCGTGCAACAAATGCAACATTGAGAACCGCTACAGAGTGACACCCTTTTCTGAAAATGCATACATAGGACTTCACAGAAAGGGGCACCCTAAAATCCTGTCCCCTTGCTTCAGAATATGACTAAGTTTCAGACTATTCTGCTCCCTCATTATGTTCAAAATGCAATTACATAAAAGTGATTTAGTTTAGCTGCACAATGTTGGCGCACACCTTTAAATCCCAGCACTTGGGGAGGCAGAGGCAAGCTAATCTCTGTGAGTTTGAGGCCAGCCTGGTCTACAGAGCAAATTCCAGGACAGCCAAGGCTATACACAGAAACCCTGTCTCAAAAAACCAAAACCAAACCAAACTAAAACAAACAAACAAATGAAAACCAAGTGGCTGGATGGCTTTAGTCTGTAGGACACATGCCAGGACTTAATAGGCTCTATTCACAGCAGGTGGTTGCGGTTCTGTGACAGTACAGGACACTATTGTTTGGGAACATTCAGAGGCAGCTTCAATGCATCTAGACATGTGGTGAATAAAGCAGGTGATAAACCTGGAGACACTTGGTCCAAATTAAGAGTGATTATTAAGGAACATTACCTTCTTGTGAGAGTCAGAATGATTTTTTAAAACCACTCTGAAAAGATTTCGAAAGACTGTACAGGCAGTCTCTCAGATGGCTGTGCCATGGAACAGTACCTGTGCTAGCAACTTGTAAGGCTCATTTCTTTGGGCAGGAGGCTGAACTATGCACAATCCTCACACACAGTCTTACCGGTGCACAAGCACAGCGAGTACTCCCACCTCAGAACTTGGAAATGTCACAGAATGAGTACATGTCCTTACAAATAATTGCATAGTATTTTATTTCATCTAAAAATATACTGTTAAAAGTATAATGACGGAGCGGATGCTTCAGAAGCCAGCTTCTGGATCCCTAGTAGCCGCTTAGGAGTACTAGAGAGATTAACACTTCCATTATGGACTCGAGTCTTTAACAAGAAAGTCACTACTTGTTAGACAATAAAGCAACTGTACCAAACTTAAAAGCTAAAAGAAAATAAAAATTTGGGAGGCATGGGTAGGAGGTCAGTCGGGTTCTAGGCTAGCCAGGCTACATAACAAGTTCAAGTCCAGCCTGGGCTACTTAGCAAGACCCTGCATCTAAAAACCCAAACCAGTGACAATAAAATCTTCTACAGAATTTCTGCTAGCATAATTTAAACATATGACCAGCTCAGCAAATATGTTTTAAAATGACCTTTGAAGTTTCAAAAGGGAATGTATTTTCCCCTTCATACTTCTGACCCTTGAATTTGTACTGGTATTGAGTTCAAGGTAAAAGAAAGCTAATTCTTTTTAAAAAAATCACAACATACAGAAAATTTTAAAAAAAGAAAAAACAGTAGTCCAGAACTTTCAGAAAAAAATACAACACTGGGTGAGGGTGTGGCTCAGTGTGCTGCCACTAGGCAAGGCCCTGATTCCATTCCCAGCACAGAAGCAAAGCAAAACCGAATAGCAACAAAAGGTGTGAGCAGAAAGCACAAGATTATCTTTGGAAAGTAGGTATTTTCTCTCTTTCTACTAGAAATGACAAAATATTTCTCCCCAGTTGCACAGTTAGCCAGCTCACCTCCTAAGAGTGTGCACAAAAAACTTCTAAGACACAGGTACTGAAATGATTTCTTCCTAAATGTTTTGGCTAATTCATGGTCAAGATATGCTTAGTCTCTCCTTGGACAGAACTAAGGAAACAAACAGATAAAACCACCAAGGCTTGAGCTGAGATAACCCCCCAAAAATCAGCCATTACCTCAGCCATTGGTATCCTTTCTCCCCCAAAGGAAACAAACCAAAAATAATAACTTAGTGAACCGAGCCCAGCTTCAGGTGAGCCATCTGGAAAGGCAGGAATGGTCCAAACAATGTGGTGTAGATATATTCAGGAACTGCTGAAGATGGCTGGCCGGAATCAGGAAGTGTCCATTCCTCAGAGGCAAGAAAGGAGGCAGAGCCCAGGCTTCTAAAACACGTACTGACAAGTCCAGGAACGTGGCCGGACATAATCCAGAAAGGTGGGCTATGATGGGAGAAAGAGCAGAGCAGTTTGTTTGTGTTCACAGTACATGTGAATTAGGTATATGGGGTAGGGAGCAGCTGAATGTTAATATTGTGCATCTTTAAACCCACCCCCCAGCATTTCAGCGACCTTTAAGGTTTGAAAAACTCTCTCACTCAAAGATATTGAGATGTTTTCCACCAACAGTACCCATTAATTCAACTGAGAAGTTCTGTAAGAAGTTCCCTAAGTTCAGTAAACACCATTCTGTGGACCATGGATCAAACGGTAAGTAGGCATGGTATCTCTTAAGCATCTTGACACATTATTTTAGCAAAAGTTAGTTTCAGTCTAAAATCTAAATAGAGGTAGGACTAGGACAATAAAGTATGTGCATACGGCTATAACACAAGGTTTTAAGTTCATGATTCACTTCAATAGGAAGTACTTTGGAAGTTCCAAAACAGGGAAGATGGAACAAGAATTCAAGATGCTTCCTTGGCAAGTAAAGCATGCAACCTGGGTCTCATCAGTAGGGGAATAAAATCTGGCCCGTGGGACCTGAGGATAAAGAACAGCATGACCAGGGACAGAATTCAGAGCATCAGATGCACAAAAGGTTTCTGCAGGAAATAAGGAGCGAGAATTGAGGGTGTGTGACAAAAGAGAGCTTATGCAGAGGTCCATGGGGAGACTCGTAACTCAGCGGTGGATAGCCACACTCAGGTGTGGTTCCTGGGAAAAATACCCAGGAAAGACATATCAACAGGGAATCTCAGCCTCATACAAATTGAGAATTATCCATCTACAGGTTTAAAAAAAAAACACAAAACCTAAGAATGAACAAAACCCAAACATAACCACAAGGGGGAAAAACAAAAAGAATGGTAAAATCAAGGGAAATGCAGCCCCGACATCAGATTATTACTTTTGGGGGGCTGGAGGGACAGAGGTGAAAAATTCCAAGTCTCAGAGGAAGGGATGCATATGCCATTGGGAAAACCCTGGAGATAACGAAGAAGGGTGAAGGAATGAGCTGCTCAGGAGAGTAGTCAGACTGGGAAGTGAACTGATGCTCGTGTCCTCCCTCCCTCCTTTCAACTCAGACTCACACCCTCTGTAACACCAGCCCCCTTCCATCTGGGGCGACACCCAAGCTGGGCTGGCCACTCACATTTTTCAGAGGACAGTGCTGGCGGGCATACCATTCTTGAGAATAAAAGCACAGAATGACTCCATGGCCCAGGAAGAGAGAAGCCCATACCATAATGTTCCAGATTGGCCTTTTCCGGCTGTCATTGACAATAAAGTTAAAAGCCACTAAAGTGAGAAAGAGAATAAAAATACAGTTATTAAAATACAGTCCACCAGGGATGCGGGCTCAGACACAGGCCGTGGCTGAGTCCCAGCAGTGAGCATTCATAAGCATCTTTTATCCTGCTGTCACTCACTCTACAAGTAAATGATGCTTAACTATTGAAATTATCAGTCCTAGTTAGCAGGAAACAGGTGAAAATACATCTCATGGAATTATTCTTATGAGTTCCTCACCACACACTCAAACACGGACCTGTTTTCAGGAGTTGCACAGTGACTGTTTATAATCGGTCCCCAAGAGGCTACCTAGCTCACATGCTCCCTCCAGTGTGTAAACACCTGTAGACACAGCTGCATATTACTATTCATATAACTGCATATAACTTTGGCCACCTGCTAAACCAACTGCCTTGAAACGGTGTTGGCATCTGGATTTTCTAAAGTGACTTCATAGTTTCCTTCCCGTTTCACTTTCTCCTTTAGAGTAAGGGCAATAAACACAGCAGGCCAAGTCACTCACTTCCAAAGAACATGAAGAGTACGAAGAGCACCGGGTAGAAATAGCTCAAGCAGACAGCGAGGGCGTATTCATGCACTACAGCTGACAAGGCGAAGACAGCCAACATGGCAGCAGATCTGAACCTCTTCGAGAAAAACTAAGGTACAAAGAAAATACCAGAGAGTTAGTAACTTTAAAAAAAAAAAAGTAAGACATGATTACCATGCAGTAAAGGCACCTGCCTAGTTATGTTTGATTTTCCAAGCCTTTACCTTAGGTTAACCCAAATCTATTAAAATATTTACAAAAACATGCTCAATACTAGTTTTGATATGAAGTGTCCTGCCTGGAGGTTCACATGCTGAGGGCTTGGTTTCCAGATTGTGGTGCTATTGTGAAAAGTTCTAGAAACATTACTGAGCCAGGTTTCATGTACTGCAGGCCAGTCTTGAACTCCTGATCTTTTAGCCTCCACCTTCAAATGCTCACACGACCACACCAGGCTCAGATTTCAATCATCAGAGGGACACTGTTTAAAACGCAGGGCAGGTGCCCTTTTCAGAACTAGGATTTAAAAACAAGAGACTTGCTTCAGCCCAACATGGGGCTTCAAGGTGAGTGAGAGAACTCAGTTTGAATGCCTGTCTCCTTAGGATGCCATCGGTCACTGAGGTGGATGATTTCAGAGACACCAGTGTTAACCAGAAGTACAGGCTGTGCTTAGTTACTCTTAAATATATTATGTTCCAAAGCATGGCTTACACAACCTAGTCTCAGGTCGGGGAGTTGTAAATCCACAGTAGTTCTCTACTTTTAACAAAGAAACAAATCCAAATTTAAGTGGGTATGGTGGGCAGGGGCAGAGGAATACTTGCAAATTCCAGGTGTACCTAGTCTATAAAGGGAAGGGGGTGAGAGAGAGAGCTACAAGGGGAGTGAGGAGGATTGAGAGAGAGGGGCTAAAGGGAGATTATTTGTGAGCAATGAGATTCCTAAAGGTCCTTGGTAGATGGCTCTCTAAGAATTATAACTTTGTAACTAGGTAGTGAAGTCCAGAGAAAGGCACGGTATTGTCCTAGTAATGTACATAATGGTTTCCATGCTCAATACCATTCACAGCATATAGGTTCTTAGATGTGAACTTTTAAGAAAATTGACAAGAAATTATAACACCTTCTTCACAGGTAATTAAACACAACTTTTTCCAGCTGTGCAACACTAAAAAAAATTCAAGTTTGCTTGGCTAGCTTTCCCGATATTGTTTGTTTTAAGACAAGGTCTTACTGTGTAGCTCTGGTTGGCTGCCCTAAAACTTAGAATGTAGATCAGCTTGGCCTTGAACTCCAGAATCCACGTGGCTCTGCCTCCGAAGTGCTGTGAGGTGTGTGCCACAATGCTGGACTTCTTCATAAAGATTAACTTACGGTATTTTTATGTGTATATGGGTGGACCGAATGCACATAGGTACATACATAGGCCTGAGGGCAGTATCCAATACCCTGTAGTTACATGTGGTTATAAGCTGCCCAATGTGGGTTCTGACAACTGAACCCAGGTTCCCTGCAAGGGCAGCACGCATTCCTAACCACTGAGCCATCTTTCCTGGCCCCTTGGAATCACCATTTCTTACATAACATCAACTAGGTCTTGCTGTTTACCCAGAGGAGGTCCTTGTAAGCATAGTAGTAGAGCCAGTCATGGACCACCACATTCCAGGTCCTGTAGTAGTTGGAGTATGATGTAGAGTTCCACCAGTCCTGAGAGAAAAGGAAAGGTATAAAATCACACACTGTAAAACCCCTGGCCATTTCCAAAGAGCACACATGACTGACAGAGAGCTTGAAGGACACTATGATAAAATTGTTAGTTCCCACACTGATGCAGTTAGTAGTCAATACTAATGCATGTTAGCACTATACATAGTAAGGCTCTAGGTGCATTTTGTCTCATTATCAAATAAGTTATGATGGAAGACATAGAACACACAACCATTCACATCTAATGTTTGCCTCCACAGCTATCAGTAAGCTTCCTCTCCACCTTGTTAAACACAAGAGACCTGAGCACACATGGGGGCAGGCTGATTGGGACCTGGCAACAACACTTAATTATGAAGGGAGTGAGATGGTGGTTCTAATGTCCCTTTTGTAGTTTTTGCTCCCAATTTGAAGGTAAAACTAATAGAATCAGACATCCAAAATCTGCCATCCACATTTACTTGAGAAAGGAGTGGGAGATGAAGTCAAAACAAAAATTTTGACAAGGCCAGCTTTGGAAGTCTAAGAATACCATTTGAAGCAGAAATAACACCTTTGAAAATGAAAGGAGTTATTTCCCTTGGGAACCACTCACCAGTCAAAAAGGACTAACATGCTAGGGCTACTCTATAAAAGCCAGTGGCCAATTTGAAATGCACAGTGAGGAGTCGGCATAACGCCCTTGGATAAACACTTCCCACCAGTCACCAGTACCTCACGAGCCAACAGAGGCTCTATGCTCTTTGTGGCGGCGGGACGAAGAAAGGCCAAGACAAAGTGTAACTATACTGTAGTCTAGGCTGGCCTGGAACTCATGGTAAAATCCTCCTGCCTCAGCCTCCTGAGTGCTGATTTTAGAGCATGTAACAGCATTCATTTGCTATCTAAAGGGAAGAGGCGTCAGAGGGTTATACTAACTGCACATGCATGTATCAGAATTTCAGATTTAACATTGGTAAAACTGGGAGAGAAAAGAGAATTATCTCATGGTATCTGTGTCAAAAAGCTGGCAATACCAACCAACATAGGTCAATACTCAGCAATATGGAAATAAAACGGAACGCAAAGGCAGGCACGGTAGCTCCAGTCACAGTGCTTGCTGCCAAGCCTGACACCCGACTACCACCTCTTGAACACACATGCATTCGTGGTGCATGTGTGTCCCACCCCAACCCCACTCATTTTCTTTAATTGATTAGAAATGCCAGGCATGGTGGCGAATGTCTTTAATCCCAATACTTGGGAGGCAGAGGCAGGCCAATCTCTGAGTTCAAAACCAGCCTGATCTACAGAGAAAATTCCAGGACGGCCAGGGCTACATACATACATACATACATACATACATACATACATACATACATACACCATAATGTGAAAAGGTGAGAACAAGTATACAATACCTTATAAAACATCCTGTCACCAAAGCGTAACATCTCAGCAAAGGCATTGAGCCAGCAGTGCAAAAAGGCAAAGAATGTAAGGAATAGCATCAGCACACCTGAAAACAAGAAAGACAATCTCAAGTCTTTCCAAGCAGCTCACGTAGTCAGCCATCATCAACAACACTCCAGTGTACGTTTAGTGGGACGCTGCTGCAAAGCCTGAGGGTATTCCAGCTTACCCATTTCAAGCCTGAGGGTATTCCATCTTACCCATTTCAAGCCTGAGGGTATTCCAGCTTACCCATTTCAAGCCTGAGGGTATTCCAGTTTACCTATTTCAGAGGTCATACAATACACCTTGGAAAGCCAGGGTTTGGTTTTTTGTTGTTGTTGGGGTTTTTTTGTATCCTTTAAAAATATAATAATGTATTTCTATGTAATTTTAACAGAAAATAGATGATTCCAGCCTGTTTTAAAGAAATGCCTGGCCGGGCAGTGGTGGCGCACGCCTTTAATCCCAGCACTCGGGAGGCAGCAGGACAGCCTCCAAAGCCACAGAGAAACCCTGTCTCGAAAAACCAAAAAAAAAAAAAAAAAAAAAAAAAGAAATGCCTGGACATGCCACTAAACTTGGTGCCCAAGACCCTTTAACTCTTCCTGGGTGCTGCAAACATCTACAATGGGGCTTCTGCCATTCCAGGAGGACACTCCAGGGCTTGCTATCTGTCCTTTTGTCCAAAAACCTTCCCACCACTTTTCCCCAAACAGTATGTGGTTTTTTGTTGTTGTTGTTGTTGTTGTTTACTTCTCCAGCATATTTTCCAATGCCCAATGCTAAAAGTCTACAAAGGCCATTCTATTTATACAGTACTTTCACACTGTACTGTAAAATACTCATTGCATGCCCACCTATTTTATTCACTTGCTCAAAAAAGATTTATACAGTGTTTGCTGGCCTATACAGGGTAAATTAAAATGTCTGTGATTCCAGTCCCAGGTGATCCAATACCCTTTTCTGGTCACTGCAAGCACATGGTGCACATACATTCAGGGAAATAATACACATAAAATAAAAAAATAAAAATAAATACTCTCAAAATATGATCCTTAATCTCAAGGACTTTGCAGTCAAGTGAGTTAGAGGGTGTGTGTGTGTGTGTGTGTGTGTGTGTGTGTGTGTGTGTGTGTGTGTGTCTGTGTCTATTCATGTTATAGGAATATCTAAAAGAAAGGAAAGGGAGATAGTGACAACAGTAGTTAAGTATAGACAAGAAGGTTAAGTCAAAGAAGCTCTGGAGGTTAAGTCAAAGAATTTCTGAAGTGCAAGCTCCCCCAAGTACACACTGTGTGTGCATCATCTATAGCTGCCCTCAGCATTGGCACACAGTAGGTAGGAACTTGTGTGTTACTGGGAAAAAATACATGGACTGAAAGAAACTAGGAGACAAGTATGATGAAAAGCAGAAAGATAAGAAATAGTGACAAATTGAAACTTCAAAATGTGGTTAGAGCATCCCATGTCTCCTAGAGGTCACTCTGGAAACAGTTAAACCATCTATCTGGTTTAGCATCAGAAGATTACTGGTGGGGACTTTAACTATGGGTATCTGATGGCCTGGTGAGATTAAAGATTATAGAGAACTGAAGAGGAAAAGGAAGTTACACAAATTGTGGAGGAAACAAACTCAGTGAGAAGTGAAACTAGGAGGACATTTCACTTCTAGAGCAGATGAAGAAGTGGTGGGTGGATATATGTACAGCTAAGTTCATAGGAAAAAGCAGGGAACTAAAGGTGCCTACGGACAGCAGCTTCCTGCTTTCTTCCTCACCATATATGGATGGACAAGTGAATGAGCGTCTAGGTTACCTGGCAAGATGGAGTTAAACACACACAGAACCAGAACACGAGCGCTGAAGGGTTCCTGTTTGATATTCCGGAACAATGGGGCACAGAGTCTCTCAAAGATGTAGTATACATAAAACAGACAGCCAAAAACCTAGAACATAGCAAAGAAACAATGACAGCTTCATAAAGAAATACACATACAACTAATATTTACATACATATCATTTAACCCCAGTCTATAGAACGGTCCACTCCTTCAGAGAGATACTCAGGCCTCAATTAACCAAGATTTTCCTAATCATTCATTAAATGAGGTTTTTTGTTGTTGTTTAAAGATTATATTTTGCTGTACAGCTAAGGCTGGCTTTAAACTCAATAATCCTCCTTCCTCAGCACCCTGAGTACTGGCTTTATACATACATGCCAACACAGAACCCACATGGCAGCTCACACCTGTCTGTAACTCCAGTTTCAGAACTTCTGACACCCTCACAGACACACATGCAGGCAAAAAAACCAATGCACGGCCAGGCGTCCTTGTTAGAGTGACATCGTCTTTAAACCCTGTGTGGCAATCCCTGACGCACCGCCGTGATGCCCAGGGAAGACAGGGAGACCTGGAAGTCCAACTACTTCCTTAAGATCATCCAACTTCTGGATGATTACCCAAAATGCTTCATTGTGGGAGCAGACAATGTGGGCTCGAAGCAGATGCCGCATGTCCCTGCGAGGGAAGGCTGTGGTGCTGATGGATAAGAACACCATGATGCGCAAGGCCATCCGAGGGCCCCTGGAGAACAACCCAGCTCTGGAGAAGCTGCTGCCTCACATCCGGGGAATGTGGGCTTTGTGTTCACCAAGGAGGACCTCACTGAGATTAGGGACATGCTGCTGGCCAATAAGGTGCCTGCTGCTGCCCGTGCTGGTGCCATCGCCCCGTGAGAGGTCACTGTGCAACCTCTTTCTTCCAGGCTTTAGGCATCACCACCAAGATCTCCAGGGGCACCATTGAAATTCTGAGTGATGTACAGCTGATAAAAACTGGAGACAAAGTAGGAGCCAGCGAAGCCACACTGCTCAACATGCTCAACATCTCCCCCTTCTCCTTTGGGCTGATCATCCAGCAGGTGTTTGACAATGGCAGCATTTACAACCCGCAAGTGCTTGACATCACAGAGCAGACTCTGCACTCTCGCTTCCTAGAGGGTGTCCGAAATGTTGCCAGTGTTTGTCTGCAGATTGGTTACCCGACTGTTGCTTCAGTGCCACACTCCATTATCAATGGGTACAAGCGTGTTCTGGCTTTGTCTGTGGAGACTGACTAAACCTTCCCACTTGCTGAAAAGGTCAAGGCCTTCTTGGCTGATCCATCTGCATTTGCGGCTGCTGCCCCTGTGGCTGCTGCCACCACTGCTGCTCCTGCTGCTGCTGCAGCCCCAGCCAAGGCTGAAGTCAAGGAAGAGTCAGAGGAATCAGATGAGGATATGGGATTTGGTCTCTTTGATTGATCCTTCAGAGCAACCAACTCAGCCAATTTAATTTGGAAAAAAAATGGAAATAAAAGCTTACTTCTGTTATAAAAAATAAAAATAAAGAAATAAGCCATGTATTTAAAAAAAAGCCCATTTGTTAATAAATAAAAATCATAAATAAAATAAAAATATCAAGCCGGGTGGTGGTGGTGCACAAGTTTAATGCCAGCACTCGGGAGGCAGAGGCAGGCATATTTCTGTGAGTTCAAGGCCAGCCAGATCTACAAAGAGAAACCCTGTTTTGAAAAACCAAAAAAAAATTAAATTAAATTAAATGTATCAATCACTAACATGTTAGGCAGTTTTTAAAAAGTTACCTGTAAAAATTGCACAGCAACATAGCTCCATCTTACAGTAGGAGTCCTGAAAAGAGGAAAAACAGGTTCTCTAAAATAAGTAATAAACTATTTCTGTTTGTCCTTTTATCTACAACGTTAATAACCTAACAATGTTTTTCTATACATAATATCTTTATGGACGGAGGAATAGCTTAACAGGACAGTGTGTGCATGCCACGAAGCCTTGAATTTGATTTCCAACCCCCACCATCTGCAAAAATTTAACATCAAAATCATAACAAAATTGTATCATTCTATCAAGAATGATTAGTTAGAACTGGTCTGCTAGAATGACCACTTGTGGCATCCAATTTTTTTTCTGTGGCCCTGTATAAACTGCCCTCCTCCAAAGCTGTTCGCTTTCTTTCCTCCCCCTTTCAAGGTTACCTCGGATAGCTGTCACGGTAAATAAGTGTAGGAGCAAACAGGAAGTACAGGTACTGGTTGACTGTGGGTACTGGAACTCTGCCTAAAAAAGGAAAACTTCTAGATTACAAGATCTTTTGACTTCTCCCAGCCAACTAGAAGAGCCAAAAAAAAGAAAGCAAGAACAGGGCTGGTCTAGCCGTTGGTGGCTCATGCCTTTAATCCCAGGACTTGTACTTGGGAGGCAGATGGATGTCTGAGTTCAAGGCCAGCCAGCACTCCACAGAAAAACCCTATCTCTGAGGAAAAATGAACCAGGAAGAACACCATGACCTCTTGGCTCCTGTTTTTCTTCCTGGTCTACTAAATTGACTTCGTGTTCATGCAATAACCCAGTACTGCCAATCTCTCTAAGCTACTACTATGACTAAAATAAAAATTCTAGGGTGGAAAGCCATAATTTGCAAAGTAAGCAGACACAGGTGGAGTGAGACTATGAACATTCCATGAATGCTAAATTACAGGAGTCTAAAGATAAATTTTTGCATTGTAGATAAAAGGACAAAACAGAATAGTCAGGAAATAATGTGTCTTCCAAATCAATACGGATCCCATGCACTTAGAATAAAGTATACTCTCTACTAATACAACGTCCCAGCATACAAATGATGAAATATCCCATCAATAACCCTTTACGGGCACAGAGTTACATACTTGATTTTTCCTTGGCAGCATTTAGTACTCTCGGCACATTCTCTCTGACAAACGAGTGAGCCTTCATTATCATACGAATCTGCCAAAGGAGAGGGGAAGTGAATTTCCTATGGCGTCTTGTCTCCTATAAGTAACTCCAGAACTGCACTGGGTAATATTCACACAAATTTGCACATACTAACTCAAGTTAGCCTTTATAAAGAGGAAAAACTTCCAAAGAAGGACATGTAATCACTTACATGATTTGGTACCTAACAGAAGCATTACAAGAAATTGAGAAGTTAGAAATCTATTCAATGTAGCTCAGTGGCAGAGCTCCTGCCTAACACCCCTCCAGCTGCAAAGAACATGGTCCTTTCCATGTGAGTGCAGTACAAATAAATTAAAACCTATCTCTCATTTCAAAAAGCTATGTCATGACATGGTAAGTTCAGCACTTCAAATGTGGACTTTTTCAACTACAAACACATAATCTAAATGACTTTTACAAAAATGTATTTCAAAAACAGTTCAATATAATTTATTTCAGATTCAGATAACTGAAGTAGAATGAACTGTTTAAAATGAGAGGATCCAGTTAAACACTTCAATAAAGCCAGCATGGTGGCACACTTACAACCCCAGAATTTGGGAGCATGTGGCAGGAAAATTAGGACTTGGCATACATTAGCCCCTGACTCAAAAACCCTTCAGTTCTACAGATAATGGTATGGAGATACATATGAACTTATATATCCAGGGCTAGCATCAGTTGATAACAGCATCAGTACTAGATCATTATTGTTATTATTTAACTGGTCACAGCATCATTCCCAGTAACTCTTCAACCCTTACCTGTTCAAGTATAACAATGAACCGGGAGGCTGGGGGCAGTGTATATGCTAATACAACATATGTTGGTATAAAACCTAGAATTCCAAGCTGGAAGACTAAGAAGAAAACGCCGTGGATAAGGGAATAGACAAGTGGATGAGAAGTCTTGCTGTAGCCATGGGCCCAACGTTGGAACAGGAAATAGGGAATTGAAAGTGTAGACAGGAACATGGCCCACCATGTCCAAATAACAGTAGGAAGTTTGCCAAAAGCATAGGCCAAGAGATTGAACTCAAGTACCAGCCTGTGGGGGAGAATAGAAAAAAGTGAATGTTTGATATGCAGTGGATTTGCAGAACTCTCCCTCCCTCCCTCCCTCCCTCCCTCTCTCTCTCTCTCTCTCTCTCTCTCTCTCTCTCTCCCCCCCCATCCCTCCCCTCTCACACACACAGTAACAGCTAGGTTACTGAACCAATGGTACAACCTCAATGGAGGACTTGTAAGAAAAATGTGATTTATATACGCAGTGGAATTTTTTTTCAATCTAAAGAATGAAATTGTATCATTTACAAGAAAATGAGTGCAACTGGACATAATCTTATTAAGGAAATTATGTCAACCTGAGATTTATTTGTGTTTCTATTATGTGTGTTTTCTGTCATTTGTGGGTTCTAGACTCTATAGACACACAAGATCGTGTATGCACAGATGATACGAAAATAGAGAAAACTGGGGCACTAGGGGGACTAAGAGGAAGGCAGCTGCCATATGGGGAAAATAAACTCAGTGATCTAATGCACAAAAATGGCCTTATGTATCCCTGTAAAGAGAGCGCACTTTAAAATTAGAGTTGTGAGTATAGCTCAGTTGTTGAGCACTCCAGCACTGCTGACCAGGAGTAGTGGTGCAGACCTGTCATCCCAGCACTTGAGAGGTGGGGGAACGAGGATCGGGAGTTCAAGATCACCTTCAGCTACATAGTAAGTCTGAGTCTAGCTAGACTACTTTCTCAAAAAAAAAAAAAAAAAAAAAAAGATGATGATAATGGTGAGTAATGAAACTTTTTTCTTTTACTTTTAGGAATCAAGAAACTCATCAACTCAGCTGCCTTGGATTTTTGTTTTATTTTGTTCTTCTCTGTGGCTCTGGAGGCTGTCCTGGAACTAGCTCTTTTTTGTTTTTGTCTTTTGAGACAGGGTTTCACTATATTGTTTTGGAGGCTGTCCTGGAACTCACTCTGTAGACCAGGCTGGCCTTGAACTCACAGAGATCTGCCTACCTGACTCTGCCTCCAGAGTGCTGGTGTGCCACCAACACCTGGCTAGGAACCAGTACTTGTAGACCAGGTTAGTCTTGAACTGCCTCCCAAGTGCTGGGATTAAAGGTGTGCGCCACCACTGCCCGGCAGAATTTTTTTAAGCAAATGAGAAGGGTCAACTTTTCACACATCAACTAGCCAGTCACCCGCCTGTCTTACCTTCCTTCATCAATGTAATCTACCACGAGTGTGCTGAGGATAAAAATGATGAGGAGTGCAATGAACATGTGGTAAATAGTTCTGATGTGGTCCACTTCAAACAGCTCACTGGAAATGCAAATCATAAGTTACTATATTTAATTTTAAAGTACCAACATAACGAAGACACTTTTTAAAGCAGTTTACAAGATGTTTAATCTACTCTTTGAGAGATCCCTTTAAAAGCTCAAAAAAGCACAATATTAAACCTGAAATATACAGAAAGTAAATGATATAATCTTTCCAAACTAGGATACTGACTCACAGAAAACAGCATGGCTACCTCAGAGGAGCAGCCTACATCTGGAAAATCACTAACAGCTGTTTGCTGTGTTGGCAAAGGTGAGTCGCGATAGAGAAGGAAGACCAGCTCTAGTCCAAACCCTCCAGAAAGCCTGGCTTTACGAGCTCACTTAAATCTGCGTTCCTTTGTGGATGATCTAAACCTTAACCATTCCCAGGGCCTTCTACTTTCTGCTGGCCTATAGTCCTTCAGACTGGCTGTCTGCCTTTTAACAGAATGACCTTCTGGGTGACTCTTCCTCAGTCAGCATCTTCTGTACCCAACTGAAACAAGTATTCTAGCCTTGGCTTTGGGAAGTATGTACAGCGGTCTCACGACTCTAGAGGGTCTAAAATATTCTCTTTTTTATATATAGAATTTTATTTGTTATGTATACAGTGTTTTATCTGCATGTATGCCTGCAGGCCAGAAGGGGATGCCAGTTCTCATTACAGATGGCTGTGAGCCACTATGTGCTTGCTGGGAATTGAACTCAGGGCCTCTGAAAGAGCAGCCAATGCTCTTAACCACTGAGTCGTCTCTCCAGCCCCTGGTCTAAAATATTCTTAAGCCTCTGTATAAATGATCTTCAAAACCAATATCAACCTAGCTAAGCCATTTCCTGGGTTACATTTCTTTTTTTAAGTTGACACTTTTTCTCTTCTCTTCTCCCTGGCCCTTTCCCTCCCTCCTTCTCTTTGAGGAGGACTGAACTCTGGGTTTCATGAAAGCCTATGTAAGCACTCTACCACTGAACTATATATAACCCCCTCCATTTTGTTAAATTTTCAACACTGCAATTCTTATGTTAAAATGTTAAGTAATGATTCCTTCTTCTTTGTAAAAATTCTGCATTTTTCTACAGATTATAAATTTTGAAAGATCACTCTCTTGAATCTAGAACACAGCCCAATTACTTTAAAATACAACATGAACAGAATATAGAAAACTCTGCCCTTCTCATCAAGTTAGGAACTATACACCAATTTGACTTATAAAGTAAGTTTTGATATGACAAGGTTCATTTTTAAAGGAAGGCACATTACAGCCCCTGATATAATTTTCACCAACCCAATGCCCTGTCCTAATGCAGGTAAATCTCATCAATATCCCAATGAATATCTTCATAAGTAGGTGACTTATAAGTGACTAACAGGAAAGAAGAAACAGCATCTCCCATCCAAAATACACCTTTTGTTTTTGGTTCATAAATTAAGTCAGCACAACGCATTCATAGCATGCAATTTTAAAGAGATTAGAGGAGCATGGATTTTTTAAACAAGTAACTTTGAGAAAACTATCAAGAATCTCACACGTGAAAATATACACATATTACGAAGGCAGCTGTAGTGGTTTGCAAGCAAATGGCACTATTAGGAGGTGGGGCTTTGTTGGAGTGGGCATGGCCCTGTTGAAGTGTTTCTGTGGAGGTGGGCTTTAAGGTCTCATAGATGCTCAAGCCACACCCAGTGTCTCAGTTCACTTCCTGTTGCCTGCAAGTCAAGATGTAAAACACTTAGCTACTTCTCCAACACCATGCCTGACTGCATGCCACCATGTTGCAGAATGATGCTAATGGACTAACCCTCTGAACTGTAAGCCACCCCAGCCAGTTAAAAGTTTTCCTTTATAAGAGTTGCCAGTGGTCAGGGTGTCTCTTCACAGCAATAGATACATACCCTAAAACAGCAGTAATTCAAAATTTTCTCAAAGTAGACTTCTTCTACTCTCTGGATAAATAATCATAGAGAGCACAACTCTATAGCACAATTTCAAAGAATTTGTCAAAGGATAGATAAATGACTTATCTCTAACTTTTCCAAAGAAGTCAGATAGAGAACTTAGAGATAGGCAAGAAGGAACACAAAACATCACAAAATATGACAGACAGACCACAGATTCTATAAATCATGACAGTTCTTTCCTTCCTAAATCAAACTGATAATTAACAAAAGCTAAAATCACTCACTCTAACAGAGACCGCCTTGCAATAAAAATCTTCCCTTGTTCTGGAGGTGCTCTCAGATCTCTGGAAAAGAAAAAAATTACAAAACACAGGTAGAAATTAGATAAGAAGCTTAATCCCATGAGCAAGAAGGTACTTATCAGCAAGTGTACTGGCTAACATTCCTTGACTTCCTTTCCCCTTCAGATCCAGTATTATGCTGAGGGTTTTATGCATGCTATCTCACCAATCCTGACAGTGCTGTGCATGTGGGTGCATGTATACTTATTTAGGTAAGAGCTAGGTTGATATCTAATTGAGGCACCAGAGTTTCCATTTCCAGCCCCATGGGAAGGCAGTTCCTGTACCACCATCCTGAGAGACCTGTGGTGATGCAGTCCTCCACACTGCCTGATGTTTACTTTTGACATTTTCTTTGATTACTTATTCGGGGGAGGATGGTACACACATGTGTACAGAGATCAGAGGACAACTTACAGAAGTCAGTTCTCTCCTACAGCCAGGTTAAACCGAGGATTGAACTCAGGCTTGGCAGCACCTTTCATCCTGTTTATAGAACTCTTCCCAGTGTCAAAGAACTTGCAAAACTCCTAACAGCCCCCTGATCATATCATCTGCTTTTGGAGTAATAAAAATTCACATTTTAGTGGCCCACATACCATTTTACTTAAAGGACTGTTATTGGCTATTGATTCTCCAAACGGTTCTCCAGGAGAGACTGGCAGGAAATCCAGAATGGTAAATTAGCATATATTAGCCATTGATGTGTTCCTCTTTAGATACACACTAACTGCAGGGTACTTTATTACGAGTACACACTGAAGAGACTACAACAGGCATGGAATGATGTGGTTAAAAGCAAAGAGTCTGGAGCCAGACTCTGGGTTAAACCCCCAGTGTGGAATCCTGGATAGCTAAACTAATCTGTAGCATGCAGATAGCTGTAGCATCTACCTCACAATGAGGGGCTTGGTTTGAAGTTATGTACACACATTATAAAACCCATGCCGGGCCAGTGTGGTGGCTCAGCAGGTGAAGGAACTCGTCCCCAAACCTGACAACCTTAGTTCAATCTGGGATCCACACGGTGGAAGGAGAGAAGTGACAATCAAAAACTGTCCTCTGACCTCCACATGTACACTGTGGACTGCATGCCCACATACATACATACATACATACATACATACATACATACAAATAAAATAAATGAATAAAAAATTCTGAGTTAGTCGGGCAGTGGTGGTGTACACCTTTAGTTCCAGATTCAAGAGACAGAGGCAAATGAATCTCTGAGTTCAAGATCAGTCTAGACTACAAAGCAAGTTCCAGGATAGCCAGGCTGTTACACAGAGAAACCATGTTTGGAAAAACCAAAACAAATAAAACAAAAATAAGTAATAATTAACAATAAATAAATATTATATTAAGCAAAATGAACAGAAGCCCACATTGGGAGGAAAATACTTTAATCCCAGCACTCAGGAGGCAGATCTCTGTAAGTTTGAGGCCGGTCTGATCCACATAGGGATCCAGGCTAGCCAAGGCAACATAGTGAGACTCAAAATAATATTCAACAGTGTAAAAGTGGTGACAGGGTCTGAGCTGGGGCATTTTCACTGCACGCCACATTCTGACCGTGGGGCCGTGCTGGAGGAGATGTCTACACTGACACAACAGTGCACATACTCACTTGGCTCTGTGGTTGTTTTTCATTTCGTCGAGAATGGAGAAGGTTGTGAGAGCACACCCACCATTGTCCAGAGACGCAGACTTTTCAATGAGATTGGTCACAAAGTCATCAAAGTGACAACCAACTTCCTTCAGAAACAGAGGCTTCAGTTCCTGAAGTTTAAAACAGAGGAAAATGTAGGCACATGCTTGTGACCACTGACATTTCTCTAAGGAGGCCCCTTAAACAGAGCTGGCTGGTAGGAAGCCACACCGGAACAAGTGAATTCCCAGGAGAAAAAGCAAAAGAAATACTTTCTATAGTTGACTCGTAGTTTCAGGTATGGCTAACAAAAACAGAGGACTAACATACATCCTGCTAAAAATGTAAGCCCTCCACCTTTTTCTCTCCCCCTACCCCCCAAAGTAGACAAATGACTTTGATATTCCAGCCTCTACCTCCAAAGTGGGGGACTGGTCACATGCTACCATTCCTGGTGATATGCAAGTCCCCAAGGATACGGAAGGAAACCACCTGGTCAATGGGCATCTACAAAGGACACTGGCATCAAAGCACACAATGGTGGAAATGAGAGGCAGAGCAAGTGTGAGGCCACCTGACTAAGACCCTGCGAGAGACACACACACACACACACACACACACACACACACACACACACACACCACAGCAGATAAAAATGAGGCCACTGTTGCCGGGCAGTGGTGGCACACACCTTTAATCTCAGTACTCAGGAGGCAGAGGCAGGCAAATCTTTGAGAGTTTGAGACCAGCCTGGTCTACAAAGCTACACAGAGAAACCCTGTCTCAGAAAATCAAAAATAAAAAAGACCATTGTTTTAATATTTTTATTTAGAAAACGAAAACTAATACATTATATCTATATTATGTAATTACCACTCTCTTTTTCCTAAAGAAATCCCTTTGCCCAAGTTCCCACAACTTACATTCTAAACAGCTTTTTAAAAAGACTTGTATGTGTTCTGCCTGCATGTGTATGTACGCACCATACATGTGCCTAGTGTCTGTAGAGAAGAGGGCATCAGATGCCCTGAACTGGAGTTATGGATGGTTGTGAGCCACCATGTGGGTGGTGGAAACAAAATCCCAGTCCTCTGCAAAAGCAGCCAGTGCTCTTAACCACTGAGCCATCTCTCCAGCCCCAGAATTCCACATCTTAAAACATATCACTCTGCATCATAGCTACATTTATATAATATATATTTAGCTAACCATGAAATATGAATAAAGGTGGTGGTGATGCATGCCTTAGATCCCAGCACACAGGAGGCTGATCTGACTCCAGAACTAGTTCCAGGACAGCCAGAGCTAGACAAAAAAAAAAAAACCCATCTCAAAAAACAAAAAAGAAAACCCCATCCAAAACAAAACAAAAACCCACCATGAACATGTGTACCTAGTTGCATATATCTAAATATTGTCACACATATTCATAAAACTTTTAAGAGTGTGTGTATGTGTATATATATACACATTACACACACACACACACACACATTACATATATATTTATCTTATACAAAGCCGGGCAATGATGGCGCACACCTTTAGTCCCAGCACTCGGGAGGCAGAGGCAGGCAGATCTCTGTGAGTTTGAGACCAGCCTAGTCTACAAGACGTAGTTCCAGGACAGCCTCCAAAGCCACAGAGAAACCCTATCTCGAAAAATAAATAATCTTATACAAATATACATGCAGAACCATGTGAAGTGGTGCAAACATGTGATCCAAATACTCAAGAGGTGGAGACAGGAGGATCCTCTGTCTCAAAAAAAATACAGAAATAAAAAGTATACACAATTGTTATTGCTTTGGGCCTCTAGCTGTTCTTAATATTTTAAGGTAAATACTTAGTTTTTTTAGTATCTTTATATATTATAAATAATATATATTATGAATTATATATATATGTGTGTGTGTGTGTGTGTGTGTGTGTGTGTGTGTGTGTTAGATTATAACACACTGAGGTAGAAGGAGTTCGGAATGCTATGAGTTTGAGACCAGACTGAGCTAGCTATACAGTGAGTTCTAGAACAGCCTGGAATGTTCTAGTAAGACCCAGCCTCAAAATAAATAATAGATAAATAAATAAATGAAAATAAGTATATGAAATAAAAATAAAGCCCCCCAAATGTAATTGCACAAAGGGTAGTAAGAATATGCTAAAAAGTTCTTACGATGATACAGTTGGAAACAGAAGACCTGTCTCTGCCCCTGGGATTGAAGTCATACACCACCATACCTGGCCCTAAAATAAAATTCTTTAGAAGTTAAAGTGTTTTTTTTTCAGTGGAGAGGTATACTGAAAAGAAGGGCAGGACCCTTTGCTCCCAGCCAGGGACAGAACAAATTCTGGGCAGTCTGAAGCATGAGAGAGGCAATAAATAACAGACAAACTCAGGACCCTGTCCTTGTGGAATTTACGGTGTGGCAACGCCCTTGGAAAGTTCTAGAAATAACAGGAATGGAGTTTTTCACTGTTGAAACAGCAAAGTACTAAGAACTAAAGTCAGAAACAGAGAGAAAGGTTCAGGGGACAAGCCATGTATGTAAGACCTCAGCCTTCCTATACTTGGAGTCAAACCTTGATCTTTCACTCAGCATTAAGAAAGAAGCCCAGGCTCTTGAGGCATGATGAAGGCTTCCAAGCCACCTCTTCCAGCACTCCTCAAGGGCTAACACCAGTGTGATCACGTTAAAGGCAATAAAAGCATGGGAGAGGGGTTGTTAAAGAATATTATACAAATGTCAGTAAAAACTGCTAAAGTCAGGTCCAACTAAACAATTGCCTTCGTAAGTAAGGGTGGAGAGTCACCAAGATGGTTCAGCCAGCAAAACTGCTTGCAGTGCAAGCCTGCCAACACAAGTTCAATTCCCCAAAACAAAGTAGAAAAAGTAACTCCCCTGACTTTCAGACATGCCCCGTGACACACAAGTGTTACACACACATCACACACATGCACACTATAGATATACATAACAAAAATTAATGAGTCTTTTCTTTAAGACAGAATTATGTAAGGATAGCCCCAAACACAAGGCAATACTCCTGCCCTAGCCTGCTGAATACAGATTCCAGGCATGTGCCACCACACCTAGCTATGACACAGCATTTACTCCTCATTGTTAAACTGTCACATAGAAAGGACAATGCTGAGTAACAGAGACAACAGGCATAATATGGGATGACAGACACAGGTATCAGTGGTGACAGTCAGTGTAAAGCAGAAGGCTTCCAGTTTTCTGACACCCCAAAAGGGGCACAAAGCATTTCCACAGGATTAACCCCTACCTTTTATTCTCCCTGAACTCAAATTTAGTTATGGGCACTTCAGGAATCCAAGACAATTGTTTACATGTAGCACCTTATATACAGCTGCCTAATGCTCGTGTCTTAATGTCTTTCTTTCTCTGACGAATTAAAAGTCAACAGAACCTGCTGCCAGTGGCACTCAAGAGACCCGCCTTTGTGGAGACCATGAAGTTTCTTTAAACTCCTTTCAGAAATCCTCAGAGAGCACTAGTGACTACTTCTACCGTCACTCCCTCTGTGAGAGGGAGCAGAGAGAGACAGCTAATGCAGGGGTCTTCGCTTGCCTTCCAACTTTCCCTAGCACAGGAAACTGCTATTATTTAGCATTCAAAATGTGAGCACACAAAAAATAACGTGTGAGTAACCTGAAGTGACAGGGCGTTAGCTGGGGCTTTCCTGATGACTTGATCTCTCAAACTTGTATCGGGGATTAACTTCACTTAGACAATGGACCTTGAGGGACGGACGGATGCAGAAGTGGGAGAAAGATGATGACTAGAAAAGGAAGGTGTTTAGATAATCTAGTAATCACCCCAGCACTTGGGAGGCTGAGGCAGGAGGATTGCTGGTCATTCTGTATGTATCCAGGTCACCCAGAGCTACAGAATAGACCCTGTTTGAAAACAGAAAGCAAATGAACAGAAATCGGGCAAACAAATGTACTGTGTTTTGAGGCTCACATGAGCCTTCTATTTTTAACAAGCAGCTGAATCAGATCACCCGAAAGATTCCAAGAATGGGGAACAAAGATCCTGTGGTTAGGAACCTAAAATGCTCAGGGATGAGACAGACACTCGGGTAGGTCTGGACATTTTAGACACAGATTTACAGACATGCTCAGATTCACAACTCAGAAAGCAACTTTTCTAGAAAGTCCTTCCAGGCAGAAACTACATTGGACTGAGTTCTGAAATGAGAAAAGAGCAGAGTCATTTCTGGGTGAATCAAATAATTCTTTCAAAGGCTGAAAAACTTCCAAGTAGGCTGGGAGAAACAGCATACAGCAAACCAATCAGGGCACAGCTTTTTAGCATCTCAAAAATTCACATGACTTAATCACAATTTCTTCAAAGATGGCTTTGAGGAAGATTGTGCTGACTCCGCAAGGCCCTTAGTAGTCTGGGGATTGTTTGGTTTCTCTGACTCAGTGCCTGGCTCAGTACAGAGAACCTTTCAACCTCACAGAAAGAGGTTGTGGCTCGGAACAGAAACTAGACCTTTCTAGACAAAACAAGCAACCCAAGGAACAGGGAGGTGGGGTTCCGCCTCGAACGCTCCCCTGACTGGAAGGACACTCCTTTTCCCTCATTGTACTTAACTCCTTTTCAAAAGCTCTTGTCTCTCTTTTTCCTGTTTGCCTTCCCAGCTGACTTTCAGTATCTTGGTTACTCAGTTGGTTTTTCAATCTCTTGAAACAGAGACTCTATTAACCTCAAACTGGAGGTGATTCTCCTGCCTCAGCCTCCTGAGTGCTGAGCTTATAGGCATGGGCTACCATGTCTTGCCAAATACCACCTCTATTGTATGTTTATTATTCATCCAGTACTCATAAAAGCAACTTTGCAATTTCCAAACAACTGTGGAGCCAACAGGTTCCAAAACTCCTACACACACCACCACTGGACTAACTCAACCTTTGTTAACAAAGAATACAGAAAGTAGTTATTAAAAACAAAACACCTCACTTTGACTCTTTCCCTAGAAGCTATGAAAGAAAACGGACTAAAAACCACATGACTACTATTTATTAGATGACTACATATGACAGATTTCTGTTTGGAGGCTTTATATATTATCCCTAGCCTTGAAAAAACAAGTGAGCATAATAATTTTTATTTTACCCATGGGAAACCTAAGCTTTAAAACTCAACTGAAGGGCTAGGGCTGTAGCGCAGTGACAGAGGCTTGCATAGCTGGAGCAAAGCCCTGTGTTCCATTCCCAGCCTGGAGCTGGGCAGTTAGTTAAAAGAAGAGGGTAAAGTGGTGTGTGCAAAGTCCTAGAACTTGTCAACTGTTGAGTTGGGGAAAATCTGGAACCATACAGCCTCAGACTTTATTACACTACATTGCTTTCCACCACACAGTATCTGAAATATTATATATATATATATGTATATATATATATGATTAGTACCATCCACAAAACAAAAACAAAAACAAAAACAAAAAAATTTCAGAGAGAAAAAAACAAGATCATAAAACAGAAATGTGTATGTAAGGCAGAGGTAGGTGGTACCTACAGGTGGATCTCTGTGAGTCTAAGGCCAGCCTGGTCTACATAGAGATTTCCAGGATAGACAACACTACACACAGAGACCCTGTGTAAAAAATTAAAAAGTCAGTGTATTCATGTAGCCTGAAAATGGTGGGTAACCTAATAAGAAAGCAAAAACCTAACCAAGGTATTGCAAGCTGGACATGGTGGTATAGGACAGTAATCCTAGTACTTGGAAAACTACTTCCAGCTTGAGACCAGCCTAGGCTAACAGCTTGAACTTATGTCTCAAAAAAGAAGAGGGGGCAGGGAGCAACTGTGGATATAGATCAGTTGGTAGAACACGAACCTAACATTTAGGAGGTCTGGGATTTGATCCCTGCCAGCATAAACCAGACATAATTTTATAAACCTGACTTTCCAACACTCACAAGGTGGAGGCGAGGCAAGAAGTTCAAGGTCATCCTTGGCCACAAAGTGAATTCAAGGCCTATCTGAGATAGGGAACCTGTATCAAAATTCGAAGTGGGCTATCACCCAAGTTAGTCTACAATATCCTTATTAAATCTCATTTTAATCAGTCACATTAAGGTGAAACATATTTATCCATTTTAATCTTCCACTTAAATAGTATATTCATCTTTATCTCCCAAATGTTTTGTTATTTTGTTCAGTATTATTAGAGGCAGAGTTTTGCTATGTAGCTTTGGTTATTAGAATAAAAATGGCCTCCATAGACTCATAGGGAATGGCAGTATTAGCAGGTGTGGCCTTGGAGGATGTGTGTCACTGGGGGTGGGCTTTGAGATTTCAGAAGCTCAAGTCAGGCCCAGTGGCTCACTCTCTCTTCCTGCTGCCTGCTGATCCAGATGCAGAACTCTTGGTTCCTTCTCCAGCACCATGTCTGCCTGTGCACCACCGTGCTTCCTGCCATGATGACAACCTCTGAACTGTAAGCCAGCCCCAGTTAAATGTTTTTCTTTACAGAGTTGCCATGGTCATGGTATTTCTTCACGGCAGCAGAAGCCCAAAGAGAGTAGCCCAGGCTAACCTTGAACTTGAAATGCTTCAGCCTAGTAAGTGTCAGGATCACAGGGGTGTGCTGCCTCACTCGGTTATCAAGGGCACATCTCTTTCCCATGCTCCTCATCTACCCCTCTCACTTCCTCACCAGTCTTCCTGAACATCCTAGGAGACCAGGAAAGTAGCAGAAATGCATTCCTCATAGTTAACAAATGGGACATCCGCACAAAGAACTATAATGAAAACACTTTAAGATCACATTAAAACAAGCTGGGCGTTGGCAGAGGCAGGCAGATCTTCGAGTTCAAGGCCAGTCTAGTTTACAGAATGAGTGCCAGGATATGCTCCAAAGCTACACAGAGAAACTGTGTCTCAAAACACCAAAAAATAAAAGGGCCGGGCGTTGGTGGCGCACGCCTTTAATCCCAGCACTCAGGAGGTAGAGGCAGGTGGATATCTGTGAGTTTGAGGCCAGCCTGGTCTACAGAGCAAGTTCCAGAACAGCCTCCAAAACAATACAGAGAAACCCTGTCTCGAAAAAAACAAAAAAAAAAAAAGTAATATACAAGCACAAAATGTTAAGAATATGCAAACTAAACATACACACAGAGCAATGTGCATATATATGTAAATATATATGCATATCCTCCCTATAAAAATAGATGCAAGCTTTGCACAATCATCTACATGGAACTGTGCATGACAGAAAAATGAAAACAAGTTGTCAGGAGGGGAAATAAGCCAAATGTTATTTCCTATTCGGTTGGTAGCTATTACTTTTTTATGATGTTTCTCTTAGGGGCTTTCTGCAATGAGCATACACCATATCTACAACGAGAGAAAAGTATACAAGAAAATATATTCCTCCTGTTTAAAAAGCCAGTCGCTGTTGCAATACAACAATAAGACAAAATCTTAAATTGCAGGCATTTTCTTCTTAGTAAAAGTAACTTATGTAGCCAGAAGCCAGTGTCTTCTCTCATTGTAGTTGTTCTGTTGTTTGCGCTGTTTTGAGACAGGGTCTCAAATGCCCAGGCCTCAAACCTGATACCTCACCCTCCTCTCTCCATTTCACAAGTGCTGTGAATAAGTAACATGCGAATGTCCTCATGCCCAGACCTCTTCTCATTTTTTGAAGTATTTTATCTAATCTAGATGAAGCTGATTTTTGTGTGGTACTAAGATTAAAAAGCTTCCCTTCCAGACTTGGCACAGGCCATGAATACATCAACTGAGAGGTGGTGTCCCAAAGATCAAGAGTTCAACACAATCCTCTACTTCATAGTGAGTTTGAGTCCAGCCACGGTTACATAGGACCCTGTTTTCAGAGGCAGGGGGATGAGGGGGAGTGACAGGAAGGGAGAAGGGGTGTGTGTGTGAACTGTACACATAGCCCAGTGTATGTATTCCAATTTCAGATATACTAAATAGGACACATGAAAAGTGTTCCTCAATCGGTGTCATGGAAGTCATTATCCTTGGACTGTTTTGAACCAAAAATTAGACTGCCCCAATAGGTGAAATAAGGTATTTCATGCCTGCGGTCCCAGAACTTGGGAGACTTGAGGCAGGAACACTGTCTCAAGTTTAAAGTCAGTCTGGGCTACAAGGTATCCTACTACAAGGTAAAATCCTGTCTCAAAAAAAAAAACTCCAACCCCCACAACAGTAAGATAAAATAGGACACCGCAGCAAAGGTCTCTAAGACCTCTAAAATTGGAAAATTGGGAAAGTCCTTACCATGGACACTGCCTGACACTTTAACTGAACCATTTTATCATCCACCTTGTACAGCACATGAAGCCAGCACAAACAGAGAGACAGAAGCAGGCAAAGCAGCCAAATCCTGTTAGTCCACACCAAACCCAACATATCTTCCACTTCGGTCCGTGGACAGCTCTTTCATCTTTATCTGAAAGGCTGAACATTCCCAAGGGCAGGAGCTTTCTAGTTTTGTCTAGTGATGAAATAAGAGCAATGATCCAACGTCCCCCAAAGTCTAAGGCAGACTAGAGATATTAAGTAAAAAGAGAAAGGGAATTCCAAACAATGTAGCCAGATACAAAGCTCAGAGAGAAAACAAAACAAAACAAAACAAAGGCAATGTAGCCAGACCCGCACTGCCAAATAGACTGGGAGCCCTGAGGAACAAAGAGAATCGGCAGTTCTGGCAGAGGTGCTGGAGATCAAACCCAGGGCTTCGTGTGGGTTAGGAAGGCACTCTACCAAGCAAACTGCTATGGCCCAGCCCACGACTGCCAATTCAAAGGCTTCAATCAAGTCACAAGTTTATCAAATGGAGTATAGTGATTTACTTAGAACAAAACACTACATACTAAATGCGGGAACCACTGCTGCGGGACATGTAATCTCAAATAAACAGGAAGCAGAAGGCTGCAAGATGAGGACTGTCTGGGTTACAGAGTTGAGTTCAAGGTCTCTAAACAAATAAGTGGGCCCAGGGACGATGCTCTGTATTGTAGAAGTGAGTTTGCCTAGTGTGTGTGAGGACCTCGGTTTTCTTCCAGTACCTCAATCAATCAATCAAATCAAATTATAGATTAAAATCTCAGGAGTACAAAACGGGAGGACATATGCAAAGCAAGGATGGTGGGAAAACTGTGGCCAGCAAAACCAGCTACAATCTGAGACTATGGTGCATTATTTTGATTGATAAATGTACTAAGGTAAAGCACACAGGTAAAAATACACCAACAAGGGCATGACACAAAGGAAAGAATACAATGTTAGGCCGGGCGTTGCTGGCGCACGCCTTTAATCCCAGCACTCGGGAGGCAGAGGCAGGCGGATCTCTGTGAGTTCGAGGCCAGCCTGGTCTACAAAGTGAGTTCCAGGACAGCCTCCAAAGCTACAGAGAAACCCTGTCTCAAAAAAACAAAAAAAAAACAAAACAAAAAAAAAGAGCATGATGTGTGGAGAATAATCTGCCAATGTTAAGTACACAAGTTCTCTTATACTAATATTTCCAGTGACAGCATCATCCATCCTAGGCTCAAGAAGGTGCTGTGTTTCAAACAAATTAGAGGAAAGGGAAACATCCCCTTGGTCTTTAAGGGTAACTAGAAAACTAAACGGGTCATAGATACTGAGTATATCTTCAATTTTGCCAGAGAACTTTGACAGTAACAAACTAAAATAAAGAAGAGTGCAAGGATCAGGAGCTAGGCAGCCCTGGGGTACATGAGAACCTGTCTAAAAGTAAAATAAAACCTAATTAAATAAACGAAAAATATTTAAACTATTACTTTACCTAAAGTCCATGTTTCTGCTTCTGAAAAAAAAGGATACCTACCTCCGCCTCTGCAGCCAACTGCCTCTTCTTGGCTATCAACTGTTTCATGGTAATGTGACCTAAGGGAAATAAAAATAACTGAGTGTTTAAAACAGAGCTTTAAGTTGGCTGTCAAGTGGCAATAAACTATGAAGTCGAAAGCAAACAGATATAAAGATGACTGTATACACTCTAGCACACAACACAACAGTGCCCTTTAGAAAGGAGCACAAGCAATCTAAGCCACTTACAAATACAGTTACCGGTCCACTTCTGGCAATGTGAGAAATTAGGTCCCAGAACAGATCTTCACTTGAGACTATAAAGATACTGAGTAACGTATTAAGGATGAAAAAAATCTTGTTTTTAAGAGGTATTGCTGGGACTGGAGGGTTTAAGACTCTGTGGTTACAAGTGCTTGCTGTTTTTTTTTGTTTGTTTGTTTTTTGTTTTGTTTTTTTGAGACAGGGTTTCACTGTGGCTTTGGAGGCCGTCCTGGAACTCACTCTGTAGACTAGGCTGGCCTCGAACTCATAGATTCCCCCTGCCTCTGCCTCCCGAGTGCTGGGATTAAAGGCATGTGCCACCACCGCCCGGAATGCTTGCCGTTCTTGCAAAGCACCCAGGCTAGTTCCCAACCCAAGTCAGGCTGCTCATAACTGCCTGTCCTTTTCTCCAGGGCATCCGACACCCTCTTCTAGCCTCCCAGGGACCTGCGCTCACATTTTCATACATACTCATACATAAATACGACTAAACTTTAAAAAAATCTTAAGGGCTGGAGTGATGGCTCAGAGGTTAAGAGCACTGGCTGCTCTTTCAGAGGTCCTGAGTTCAATTCCCAGAACCACATGGTGACTCACAAGCATCTAGAATGAAATCGGAGCTCACTTCTAACAAGCGGGCAAACATGCAGACAGAACACTGTACACATAATAAACAAATATTCTTTAAAAAAACATCTTAAGAATCATTGCAAAGCTGGTCCAAATCCCCAGGAACAAAAGATAATATGAATCTGGAACCCTTAAGGAATACTTGACAGGCACATGGATTCTTGCCAAATGCTAGAAAACTTGCATACTGGCTGCCACATAGCATGTGGTCCTTTCACAGAACAGCACCCAGGGTCTGGTGCCTAACAGAATGGTGAAGCCTAGGGCCTGTTACAGCTAAGAACCTGTACGGCCACATCCTCAGGGTCCTGGACAGAAGCATAATGGAGCAGAAAGGAAATGTGTCTATGTCTACTTCAAAGACAGGACAGTCTCCCTGAAAACTTGCAACACTTCAGTGGATTTTGCAACCTAAACTTTTGTTATCTCAAAAACCTTAAAGTGTATTTATTTGAAGGCAAACTCAAGCTGTGTCCCCAGAACTGCAAACAGATAAGTACAATTCCTCCCTGGAAGGTCACAGAATCATCCAAGGCCTTCAATAGTTCTAACAGATAGAGTTCCAAGAACAAAGTAAAAGCTCCTGGTTACAAACTCTTAAGACATTAAGATAACAAAACCACGAGAGAAGCAGCAGGGGTAAAGCAAAGGGACAAGGGTCAGAAAAACTAAAGACATTAGCATCTTCATATACATAACTGACTTATGTAGTCAGGGCTTCACTGTATGTCCCCGAATGGGCTAGAACTCGCTATGCAGACTAGGTGAGCCTCAAACTCAGAGATCTGCCACTGCCTCCTGAGCGCTGGGATTAAAGCAAAAGCTCTAGGGCAGCCATGAATACAAAAGAAAAGAAAAGGAAAGGAAAGGAAAGGAAAGGAAAGGAAAGGAAAGGAAAGGAAAGGAAAGGAAAGGAAAGGAAAGGAAAGGAAAGGAAAGGAAAAGGAAAGGAAAAGGAAAGGAAAGAAAAGAAAAGTAGTCAACAGTTTCGTTCATTTTTCATCTTAATACACTGTGTCCTGCAATGATGGCTTACCTTCACTTTCTCACTATCTTTTCTATGGAGTCACTGTGGCCCCCGAACTGCTAAACCTTTATCTTGGAATTAGCTACTAACTTCAACACAAATAGAGTATTACTATGAGATGACAGATACGTTAATTACCTTGAACTAATCACTGCAAGCACTTGCCAAAGTCTACTCCACACACCTAATCAATTACTCCCTTGATAACCTGTAAAGAATGTATCATACATCAATAATTTAGCCTTTAACGCCCAGTGAGAAGTTGAGCGGTGGTGGCATACGCCTTTAGTCTCAGCACTCAGGAGGCAGAAGCAGATGGAGCTTTGTGAGTCTGAGGTCAGCCTGGTCTACAAAAGAGTTCCAGGACATTCAGGGCTACAAAGAGAAACCCTATTGGGGGGGTGGGAAAAGCAGGAGCTTGTACCATTTTTATTTTCAAAATAGATAAACTGATTCAACGAAATACACGTTTTGCACATTGTCACATGACCAATATATAGCTGAGCCTCGTTAAAACCATGTCTTCAGGTGAGTAGTGGTAGCACATGCCTTTAATCCCAGCACTCAGGAGGCAGAGGCAGGGGGAACTCTGTGAGTTCAAGGCCAGCTTGGTCTGCAGAACAAGTTCCATCCAGGACAGGATCCAAAGCTACAGAGAAACCCTGTCTTGAAAAACAAGCATACAAAAAAAAAAGTCTTCTAACATTCCCAGTGACCCAGAGTGCTGCACAGTGGCAATCATTTTACAAGTTTCAGTTCTTATAAAGAATATGTGTCTGCTTGCAGCAAGTACAGAATTAGCTAATCATAGGCGCTAGCTAGCAAGTTTTTGTTGCCTACTGAAGCTGAGACTAATTTTTAAATTCTGATTATTGCTGGAGAGATGGCTCAGTGGCTAAGAGCACTCTGTAGAGGACCCAGGTTTGTGTCCTAGAACCTACATGGTGACTCAAAACCATCTGTAACTTCAGTTCTAGGGGATCCAATGCCCTCTTCTGACCTCTGCGGGTACCAGGCACCCGGTACACATACACACTTGCAGGCAAAATCCTCCCATATACAAAAAAAATTTTTTTTTGGTTTTTCGAGACAGGGTATTGTTTTGGAAGCTGTCCTGGAACTCACTCTGTAGACCAGGCTGGCCTTGAACTCAGAGATCCGCCTGCCTCTGCCTCCCGAGTGCTGGGATTAAAGGCGTGTGCCACCAACGCCCGGCTTACACTTTTTAACCTTCCCAGTTTTTTCTAAAACACCCCCATTGACAATTTTCTTAGACTGCCTTTCTCCTAGCTTTACCATTCCTGCCATGAAGAGATAAAATTAAATCATTTGAAAGCCATCTCCACGTCCACTGGGTAATTAAGCTTAGGAATTTGAGAGAGCAGGGCTGTGTGTGTGTGTGTGTGTGTGTGTGTGTGTGTGTGTGTGTGTGTGTGTGTACACACGCACTTTGAGACATGGTCTCTGTTATCCAAGGCTAGCCTCAAACTTGCTATATAGATGAAACTGCCTTGACCTCAAGGTTCCCTTGGCTCCATCTCTGTTGGCAATTGTACTTAAAAATAAGAATTTCAGCACAACTGAATTTTTTCTATAAATGTTGCTGACAGAGGAGGTTCCAATAAAATGTTCAAACAGTCAGTGGAGTCACACAAGACTTTAATCCTAGTGCTTGGAAGACAGAGGCAGGCAGATCTACACAGCTCTGCACAGAATTCCAGGACAGCCAAGGCCACAGAGAAACCTTGTCTCAAAAAAGCAAGTGAGGTTATTCAAAGAGCAGTAGATCATACTTAGAAACATAGGCACCTTTCCTAGATGCAAATCTGCAACTTTCTGGCAATCTCAAAAACAAGAATGTGAAACTTATTCACAGTGAAAACAGGCCTTAACTCCTTGAGCAACCTTTATGACCAGTGGTTTTACTTCTCAGATTGCAATCATACCCAAGGCATCTCAGGAAATCCCATGATCTCATTTACTGGAAAAGAGGAGGGAAAAGTGCCTGAGAAACTCTCATCAGGACTTCAGTGCCACCAAGATCACAGGTAAGGACATAGACACTCTTGAGAGGCCCACGCCACCCTCTCCCTAAGCAGCTCTCTCTACTCTGGGTATTTATCTTTGAGACACAGTCTCACTGTGTGACCCTGCCTGGCCTCCCTACGTCTGCCTCATACAAGTAGTTCATTTTTTATTTTAGATTTATGTGTATGAATATTTTGCCTGTATGTATATCCGTGCACTGTTCGAACATGTCTGTGCACTATGCACAAGAATGTTTGTGTACTGTGTGTTTGTGCACTGTGGTGTGTGTGTGTGTGTGTGTATATTGCAGTGTGTACAACGGGTTCAGTATGGCTTCACAGAGATGCACCTGCTTCTGCCTCCTGAGTGCTGGGACTAAAGGCAGTGCCACTACACCTGTGGACTTATACTGGCGGAATTCAGTGAAGTCAGCTATCAACCTTCTCTTCTCAGCAGTAGTATTTGACCACAAAACCCAACGGGTGTCATCTAGCGGCTCTTTTACACTTCCCACCTCGGGGCCTCCCCAGGAGACTCTGACTCACGACCTCAAGCTGCTGTATTGGATCATTTCTTCATTCAGGGTCATTCTCATTCACACCCAAATGATAAGCACCACACTAAAAGCTGGGTCTCAAGCTGCTGTATTGGATCATTTCTTCATTCAGGGTCATTCTCATTCACACCCAAATGATAAGCACCACACTAAAAGCTGGGTCTCAAGCTGGCGATGCTGGTGCGTACCCATGATCCCAGCACTGCCAGGTAAAGGCAGGAGGATCAAAAGTTCAAGGCCAACTTCAACTACGTAACAAGTTACAGCCCAACTTGAGCTACAGGAGACCCTGTCAGGGAGAGGGGGAAGGCGAGGAAGCAATAAATAAAAGCTGTATCTCAAATTTTAACCTACACGAACCACCAAGAATCCTACTAAAATGAAATTTTAACCCAGAACATCTGAGAAGCAACAAGCTCCTAGGTTGGCCTGGTTGTCCAGCCACACTGAAAGGCTTCAAGCCCCTTGCAATTCAAAGGTCACTGTTTACTCATCCGGATTCCACAAATGTGGAAGCGGAGAAACACGCTTTCTTTTCCAATCAGCACAAGGAGGGGGTCACACATCTTAACTGAAGCTAAACAACAGCTGTATTAAAACCTAAAATGACTCCAACTCACGGCTGTTGATCTAGCTCAACAGAGAGTGTGCCGAGCAAGCAGGAAGCCTGCACGAAAACTGGGCATGGTGCCGAATGCCTCTAATCCCTACGCTGGGGAGACTGAAGCAAGGCTACATACAGATAAACCCTCTTGACCAAACAAAACAGCTTTTTAAAAAATAAGACACAAAGAACAATAGTATGTGATGATGATGACAGAAAGTTTCAATAATACTTTTTCTGTCTCTGAGAAGTATTAAAATTAGAAAAAAGTTAATGGAAAACTAAATTCATGGGAGTCCAGGCAGAGGAGATGACCCAGACTATCACCAAGACCATAAACGACGACGAGGGTAGGAGACCGCTTCTTTCTGTGCTGGCTCAGCCTCCTTTGAGTAGACTTCACTCTTTATAGCACATTAGAAATGGACCAAAGCTGGGCGGTGGTGGCACATGCCTTTAATCCCAGCACTTGGGAGGCAGAGGCAGGCGTATTTCCGTGGAGTTCGAGGCCAGCCTCCAAAGCTAGAGAAACCCTGTCTGGAAAAACAAAACAAACCAAAAAAAGAAATGCTATTACGCCAGGCACTGGTGGTGCACACCTTTAATACAAGCACTCGGGAGGTAGAGGCAGGCAGATATCTGTGAGTTCGAGACCAGTCTACAAGAGCGAGTTCCAGGACAGCCTCCAAAGCCAGAGAAACCCTGTCTCTGAAAAATGGGGGAGGGGAGGACACGACAGACACGGACAACTGGACCAAGTGTACTATGTCACAAGTAGCTGAGTCTGTGATAAACCTCATTATAACAAACAGCCTCATTCACAATCCTGGTGCGATTTGGCTACTGATGCTTGCAATTAAAGTACGAAAGGCTAAAGAGAGAACCTCTTTATGAAAAGTCTGAGGATGCCAAAGACAACCTGTTCTCTGGAACTTCCTCCCCTATTTGTTAACCAAACACGTCTCGAGTGTCAAATCCCTATGAAAGCAAAACTATACAAATGTCACTGCAAAAATAAATATCCTGATGCAATAGATGGTATCATGAGAGTTACATTTCTGAATCCACCATTCTTAGCCATAAGCCTCCAACTTAACAAGTGCTGAGCAATAAAAAATGCCCTAATTTCTCCCTCTCTCCTAAGAGTTATACAGAAGTTCAGGTCCTGCTCCTTATTCAATTTGTATTCATTATATCTATTTTAAGAATAAGTAACTTTGAGATTATATTTATTTATAGTAATTCAATTATGTGGGGTTTTTTGTTTGTTTTACATTGCTTTTTGTTTTGTTTTGGGGGGGGTTGTTGTTGTTATGCTGGGGAAGAAACCCAGGGTCTCTTCAGTGAATTTCACCCCCAACTCTGCATGATGAAGAGCTCTGCCATTCACTTAGCTCGAAGCTCAATAAATTTGAACACATACTTATCAATCACGAGTATAATCAAGGATCCAGCAGGACATTTCAATAATTACTGGGAGGCTAGGTTGGTTGAATGAATGGGTGATATCTAAAACACAGTAGAAGTGTTTGTTGATTTAATTTTTATTTATTTACTTTTATTTTGTGTGTACAGATGTGTACTGGGTGGTTTTGTGTGTCAACTTTACACAAGCTAGAGTCATGAGAAGAAGGAGCCTCAGTTGAGGAAATGCCGCCTTGAGATCCAGCTGTAAGGCATTTGCTCAATTAGTGATCAATGGGGGAGGGCCCAGTCCATGGTGGGTGGGGCCATCCCATCCTGGGCTGCTGGTCCTGGGTTCTATAAGACGGTGGGCTGAGCAGGCCAGGGGAAGCAGTAAGCAGATCCTCTCCATGGCCTCGCATTAGCTCCTGTCCCCAGGATCCTGCTCTGACTTCCTTCGGTGGTGAACAGCAATGCTGCCATGTAAACCAAATAAACTCTTTTCTCCCTAACTTGCTTTTTGGTTGTGATGTTTGTCAAAGCAACAGAAACCCTCACTGAGACAGGATGTTTTGTCCACATGTTTGTCGTGTGCCCTGTGAGTACAAGGCCTTCAGAAGCCAGACAAGAGCAGCAGAGTCCCTGGAATTGGAGTTACAGTTAACCACCATATGGGTGCTGGGATTAGAACGTGGGTCCTCACCTAGAACAAGTAATTTGGGAACCATCTTTCCAGCCCATCACTAAATTACTATGAACTTACTACCAGATATATAAAACCACCATTACACATTTGAAGTAAAGAATTGCAAACCCTGCCCTAGAACAGCAGACTGGTTTTCTGGTTCATTAATTTACCCGAGAAACATTAAAAACCTCACCATTGCTCTGTGTATCGGAGACATTTCTCTGGGCTTGATCTTGCTCAGGATTTTCACCAGATTTAGACAGCCGGTTCCTTAGTGACATCTTTTCTTCTCCCACCATCAAGCTGCCTAGGAAAGAAGCACAAAGGTCAGGAATAAAGACACTGAATGCTCCCAACATGAAGGAGCAATTCTAGGAAGCTATTTCCTGACTGATCAGTACACAGGAAAACATCACTACACATGATAAGTGTGCCAATTAATAATCTGAATAAAGGCTGGACAGTGGTAGCACACACCTTTAATCCCAGCACTTGGGAGGCAGAGGCAAGTGGATCTCCGTGAGTTCAAGGCCCCCTGCTCTACAGAGTTCCAGGACACGCTACACAGAGAAACCCTGTCTCAAAAGAAAATAAATAAATAAATGCTTTGAACTAAGTATCTGGCTACTTGAATTTCATATCACTACTATTCTTAAGAGAGGTGACCACTGATGATATATATATAATCAGTTTTAAGGTTTTTGTTTGAGTATAAGATTACAACAAGCCGGGCAGTGGTGGTGCATGCCTTTAATCCCAGCACTCGGAGGCAGAGGCAGGCGGATCTCTGTGAGTTGGAGGCTGGGCTGGACCGACAGCCTCCAAAACAATACAGAGAAATCCTGTCTCGTAAAAACCAAAAAAAAAAGATTACAACAAATTTGAAGACATTAACTCCTATCAAATATTGCAGTTCCAAAGACCCCTTTTAAGCATAGCATATACATACATGCAGACAAAACACTCACACATAAAATTAAAATGAATAAATTTAAGTATAAAAATACACACACACACACACACACACACACCCATGTGCAAAAGAGAAACTTAGAAACAATTTGGTTTGGGATACTAATAAAGACTTAAAAGTCATCTATGTAGTCTGAGAGGAAACCACAGAGGAGTTAATTATCCCACAGAAATAATCAGAGCAGTGGCAAGTAGGCGTGAACATTCAGAACTCCTTTGAAGAAAGCAGAAGTCAGAAATAAAAAGAGCACTGGCATAGCAAAGGGAAAACGTGGGCTTGAAAATAGGCACTTAGAGCCGGGCGGTGGTGGCACACGCCTTTAATCCCAGCACTCGGGAGGCAGAGGCAGGCGGATCTCTGTGAGTTCGAGGCTGGGCTGGACCGACAGCCTTCAAAACAATACAGAGAAACCCTCTCTTGTAAAACCAAAAAGAAAAAAGAAAATAGGTACTCAGACCAAGGCATGGTGGAGCATCCCTTCAGTCCCAGCACTTGGGATGGAGGCAGGTGGGCCTCTGTGAGTTCTACTAGTTCCAGGCCAGTCAGGGCTAAGTGAAAACCTGTCTAAAAATAAATAAAATATGAACGCTTAGGGCTGGGGTGTGGCTAAGAGCACTTGATGTTCTGACATTGACCCAGGTTCAGTTCTCAGCACCCACAATGGGTAGGCAGCTCACCTCCTATAACACTCTCTTCTGGCCTCCAAAGGCTACACACACTACACATATATACACACATACACACATACACACATACACACACACACACACACACACACACACACACACAAAGTTAAAACTAAAATAAAGCCGGGCGTTGGTGGCTCACCCCTTTAATCCCAGCACTGGGAGGCAGAGGCAGGTGGATCTCTGTGAGTTCGAGGCCAGCCTGGTCTACAAAGCAAGTTCCAGGACAGTCTCCAAAACAATACAGAGAAACCCTGTCTTGAAAAACCAAAATAAATAAATAAAATAAAAATAAAAGAGACAGTAAAATAAACTCAAAAATGAGTGTCGGGGCTGGAGAGATAGATCAATGACTAAGAGCACTTAAGAGCCCCAGGTTCCATTTCCAGCATCCCATGGTAACTCACAACCATCTGTAACTCCAGTCCCAGAGGACTTCTGGCCTCTACAGGCAATATATCCATACATATAAAATAAATTATTAAAACTGAATGCCAAATTAAAGCTTATTCCCAAAACATGAGAAAAGTATTTCAATGCTTATCAGGCTAGAAAAAAAGAAAACAGCTATTTTTTTAAGTACTTATGCTTTTTTTTTTTTTTTTGGTTTTACAAGACAGGGTTTCTCTGTTTTGGAGGCTGTCGGTCCAACCTGGCCTCGAACTCACAGAGATCCGCCTGCCTCTGCCTCCCGAGTGCTGGGATTAAAGGCGTGCGCCACCAACGCCCGGCTACTTATGCTTTACATGTACAAAACAAGTGGGTTTGGGGAAGGGGCAGGGGAGTCAAGCATCAGACTGTATAGACCTGGCTAGCCTAGAATTTGCAAAGATCCTTCTGCCTTTGCCTCCAGAGTGCTCTGATTACGAGTGTGCACCATCAGACCAGGCTTTGTACTAAGTTTTTTGGGTTTTGTTTGCTGTTTGTCTTTGTTTGGTTTTGGTTTTTCAAGACAGAGTTTCTGGAATTGTAAACCAGGCTGGCCTTGAACTCTGAGATCCACCTAGCTCTGCCTCCCAAATGCTGGGATAAAAGATGTATGATACCACATCAACATCTACTCAGAGATCCATTCAATACCCTGGCTCCATAGAGCTGATCTTTAATCCATTTCATCTTCTAACACTGTTAACGCTCCAGCCAGCACTGGTCCGTCCTCTCCCTGATACCTGCACACCACTTTGATACTGCATTCCCCACCAGGGTCTGATGAGCAGACTCACCATCTCACCTGACATTTCCAAGTAGGTGTCCAAACAACCCAAACCCAACTGTTGACACTCTTCTTTTTAGGGGATAGGGTAGTCTTGAATGTAAGGTAATCCTTTTGCCTCAACCTCCCAAGTGCTAGAATTATAGGTATGCACCATCACACCCAGCTAGAACTACTGACATCCTATCCAATTCCACTTTTGTTATCTCCATCTCAGTTAACAGGACCAGCAGTCATTCTTTGCAGTTTGTTTTTTTAACCCCTTGCAACTTACGTTTTCCTCATATAATTCAAGATAAATCCATGTGACCTAATTCTAAACCATTCACACATTTGCCACCTCACTTCATTCAAAAGCACTATTCAAAGGCCAGGCATGACAACTCCAGGCTTGTAACCCCTACATTTGGGAGGCTGAGGCAGGAGAACTGCCATGAGTTTGGAGACATATTGGAGTATATACGGAGACTCTGTCACACACACAAATACAAACACAGAATAAATAAATAAATCTCCGCTACCCACTGTGGTAGTCTCTCAATCACTTATTCCCCCAAGCCCTTCTAGCTTTTGTCTTTCCTTTTCTTCTCCCTCTCAAACACAGCACTAGAAGATTGGGATCTCACAGTGAACTTCAATGGCAGTTCATCTGCCTAGCACATGGGAGGCCCTAGGCTTAGTCCCCAACCCCAAAACCAAAAAATGTTCTAGAAAAGGGACTTGATATTTCTCTTGAGGAAGATGAACTCAGAACCAAAGAGAAGGATGTGGTAACCAAACACAAGATGGGTGGCGACAACAATGAGCTCACAGACCACGCAATGAGGCTTCAAGACTCACATGCCGCGTTTATTGGAAAAATGAATGAGGGGGGAAGAGATAAGGAAGATCAGCTAAACTTACAAATGATTACAGCAGTCTTTGAGGTGTGGCTGGCTACAGGTAGAAGGCAGTATGGGTGAGTGTGCTAACTCAGAAACTCAGAAAGGCTAGGGATGCCATTATGCTAATTATAGGGAGAAATAGATAAGCCCAATATTATGTGCCTGTAAGGATCTGGGATGCATCAGTGCACACTGACAGCTAAGGCTAAGACAAGTTCAGGATGTCTTCCAGGCAGGTCACCCAGAAACTACTCAGGCTTATTTAACAATGCTAGATACCAACATTCTGCCGGGCGGTGGTGGCGCACGCCTTTAATCCCAGCACTCGGGAGGCAGAGGCAGGTGGATCTCTGTGAGTTCGAGGTCAGCCTGGTCTACAGAGTTCCAGGACAGCCTCCAAACAATACAAAGAAACCCTGTTTCAAAAAAAGATACCAACATTCCATCTCATTGATGGTTAAATCATTCCCCCCTCCCATACTAAGAAACATTTAAAAAGTTAACAAAAAGACAAAAACCAAAGAGAGTAAAGAACAAGGAGCCAAGAATGTTGGGGAGGTGGGTTGGAAGGAATGAGGGGATTCAGATTCTTGGGGTCAGGACCATGAAAAACTCAAGCAAACTCAAACAAAAAGGGTGGTGTGACATTTGCAAGGTTTTGTTTTATATATATTATGCATAACACATATATTAAAGTTATATTAAAAAAAAAGAGGGTGGAACTTAGGACTGCTGTTTCACAATGTGAGATGTGCTAACAGTGGGTGATTTACTAACTATGTGTACAGTTGGTTCCAGAAAGGGCAAATGTATTGGAGTAGGTTGCAAAATGTGTTGAGGAACTGAAAACAGATCATAGGACATTTCTCACAAGAGGCCCAGGCAGGGGAGGAAAACGAGCGCCGTCCACAGTGCTGGGCGTTGAGGGAGGAGCTCCACCAGCTCCCTTAACACCTACACTCCTTATCTCTAGTTGGTGTTTTTTCCACTTGCTTGGGATTTTGTTTATTGTTTGGTTGTTATTTTGGTTTTTGGGGTTTTTTTGAGACAAGGTCTCACTATGTAGCCCTGACTGACCTAACTCAAATCCACCTGCCTCTCTGCCCCAGAGCACTAGGCCTGAGCCTCTACAAACATTCCCACCCCATTTGCAAAGATGGATTAGATTGTGTGGAACTATCTTCCTTTTAGGTGACAAAGTTGACCAGTGGAGCTGCCAGATAGCTGAGTGGGTAAAAATGCCTGTGAGAAGCCTGGCAACCCAAGCTGAATCCCTGGAAGCCACATAAAGGTAGAAGAAAACTAAATCCTGAGCCGGGCTCGCACGCCTTTAATCCCAGCACTCCGGAGACAGAGGCAGGCGGATCTCTGTGAGTTTGAGGCCAGCCTGGTCTACAGAGCGAGTTCCAGGACAGCCTCCAAAACAATACAGAGAAGTTATGTAATGTTCTGCCATAAGTATCCCCCCCTTGTCTCCATAAAGTACATAAAAGGAATTAGAGAAACAAATGGTTCATGTCCCAAAGAAATGTCAACTTTAGCCTGTCTCCAGTGTTCTCATTAACAAAGATTTCAAAAGAACCTATAAACCTGAATCACAAATAAATATTGGGTACCTACTGCAGGTGAATAACTCCTAAATCACCCTGAGGTTCAGGAAAAGGGAGACCACTGTGGATAGAAATTGCAACCCAGCCGGGCAGTGGTGGCACATGCCTTTAATCCCAGCATGGGGGAGGCAGAGGCAGGCGGATCTCTGTGAGTTCGAGGCCAGCCTGGTCTACAGAGCGAATTCTAGGACAGCCTCCAAAGCCACAGAGAAACCCTGTCTCGAAAAACCAAAAAAAAAAAAAAAAAAAAAAAGAAATTGCAACCCAACCCTGGATACTGTGGTACTGGATACAGTGGTACACACCTAACATCCTAACACTTGGATAGCTAAATCAGGAGAACCGAGGAGTTTAAGATAATTCTCAGCTACACAGCATCAGGCCAGTCTGAGCTACATGAGATCTTATCAATAGAAGGGAAGGGAGGCAGGCAGGCAGGCTAGGAGGGGGAAAAAAATTAACAATCCAAAGCATAACATCTTCATCTTCCCTCCAAAACTGGTCTGTCCCACCCTATAACTTTTTCATGTAACTAACAGAACTGGGTCAATTAACAGACTAAAGAACAGGAGAATTTGGGCAAATTTTATTTACATCTGAGTTTATTTTACTTACAAATGATTAAATATAACTAGTTATCCAATGTAGAAAAAAAAAACTAAACCTCCTCCTGTCTGACAAATGGTCCTTCCATAGGAAACAGTCACTCTCCCTAGTTAATGTCTTCTCCAAGTTCCTTCTTTGGCCCTCAGATACTTTAGTTCTGTTCTGGCCAGATACTGGGCCAGACCCTGAGAATACAGAAAAAAGGACAGTCTAGCCTCATGAAATTCACTAGAAAACAATTAGAGCATCTACTTACAATAGATGATCAACTAACTGCAGGTAAGGAGATTTGCAGAATTCTAGCAAGCTTACACTGTTGAGTGGCTCCCACAGGGAAGTGAACTTTGGTTTGAGGAATGCTCAGGGGTTGGAGAAGAGGAAAGGAGAAGAACATAAGGCCTGGGGGGAAGGCTCCAGGAGATAAGAGGAAGCTTTCCAGGGACAAAGAGAGGAAGCTGGAGCCTGGAGAGCCCGCCCAGGCTTGAAGACCTCAGGAGCTCAGGCACTCAGTACATTGGTCTGAGTCCTTAGGGAACGCGAAACTCCTGACCAGTTCCAAGCACGTGACACGCTAAGCCGTGTGCTTCTCCACGTATACTCTGCTTACTCTACGCCGCATCAGAACTCTGCGATCCCCACTCCCGTGCTGCCTGAGCTGGTTCTTTAACAAGTCATTTATATTTCCCACTTGAAAGCAAACAAGAGAAAGAAATATTCAAGTTGGATTTTGCATTAACGAAGCAGGCAAGCAGTTTGAAGAGAAAAAGTGGCAACTACTTAAGTATTAGTGACTAACGACTTTTATAGAAAACGCAAAGAATGGAGCTAAGAGTAATTTGTCACAAATAATATACATATCGCTTAAGTCACATGCATATTAACACTTAAGATCAAAGACGAACTTAGCGATTCTCTCCTGATAATTAAAAACAGAACATGAGCTTGACTATAAAGATTTTGGAGCCCTTGGCCCACATAGAGTCTGGTGTCTAGCAATGCCATCTTTACCCTCACACACATCTCCCCCGCCCACATCAGGAAAAAAAATGACTTCTTGAGTTTATTTTTTGATGTCGCTTTTCAAAGAATTCGGTGACTTCTAATTCGCAACTTTCTTTACTACTGACTGGCTTGAGAGACGCCACATGACTCGGGGGACATCAAAACCATCAGTGATATTGAAAAGGCTGCCAGTCATCCGGATGGCTGCGGGTAACTTTCCCGCCCTCCCCCGGCGGCAGGCAGCGTCTCAGCGGGACAGTCCGGCCCAGGCCAGGCCCGCAGAGCCGGAGCGGTGCCGCCACCGCAATCCCCTTCCTCTCGAGCTCAGTGTGGACCTGGACAGGAAAGGAGGAGGGGAGCGGAGCAGAGCGGAGCGGAAGCTTGGGGTTACCTGCGGGCCGAGGGCAGCTGCGGCGGCGGTCTGGGCGGCAGGCTGGGCAGCCGCGGAAGGGTCGCTGCGGAACGATGTCCCTACGCGGGTTCGCAACAGCGCCAGTCCGGCAGCGGAGGAAGATAAAGCCGGCCCCCACCCCCGTTCTCCGCCCCAACCTCCTAGCCCGGGGCTGCGTCACGCGCATCGCCCCGAGCTCCCGGATGCCATTGGTGGTCCTGCGGCGCCTGGCAACGCCCACTGCCACGCCCCTCCCCCCCCCCCCCGCGCTTGGGTACCCGCGGCGCTTCTCCGGCTTACCTGGTTTTCTGGCTCAACCGTAACCCTCCTCCAACGTGGCTGGGAGAGGACCGAGTCAACTTCCTGAAAGTCCGAAAAGACAACCTGCGTGGTAGCATAGGTCGAAGGGTGCCGGGAGCTAACGGGCCTCTTGAAACTGACCGTTAAGGAGGAAAATGAAGCAGTGGTCAAAAACCTGTCATAAGTGGCTTTGTGGTCTAAATTCTACTTGACTGAATGAGTCTGTGCTTCACAAACTGGAAAAGACAGAAATGAGTCACTTTAAGTAATGGGACAATCAAGTAATTTAAAAAGCATCCTTAGGACTAAATAATAAAAAAAAGATACGGATAGATTTAGAACATAGACTTCTCAAAAGTAAAGATGAAGGTGAATGTAGGCTCAATTTTAAAAGATAAAAGAAACAGACTGAAGAGTCCCTGTCAGCCTGTGAAACAATGCCCGATAAACTGGCTTAACTAATCATTGAGTCAGTCCCTACCCTGTCCGATTGACCATTCCTTTCCAGTCAGATTCCCTGAACAAAAGCCTAACCCTTACAATTGCCTACTCTGTATACCTTTCAAGAGGAGTTCCTCTGCCAGCCCACAGCAGACAGCACCGATCACCTTGGAGCTGGGCTCTGCACAGATCTGCCCAGTTTTTTGCATCTTCTGGACAACTGTGATTAATGATTTTGTCAACAGTCCGGTGATATCATTTGGAAGGGCTCTTGTCTGTGCCTCCCCTTCCTGTCCCACCAGTTAGGACACTTAGGACTCAGGAGTTCACTTTTTTGGGGACTCTTATAAGGACCTCTTTACACAACAAAGACCATTGCCTTTTCATTGTTTCATTTATTCAGTTAAAAAAAAAAAGCTGAGCTGACTAACACACTCCTGGATGTGGTGGTGCACACCTTTGATCCCAGCACCCAGGAGGTAGAGGCTGGCAGATCTCTCTGTGAGATCTACACAGTGAATTCCAGGACAGCCAGGACTATTGAAAGGAGTAGGCCGATCAGAAGTTCAAGTGAAAGAGGAGAAAGATGGATTGTGGCAATTGCAAGTGTGTGTTTCTAATGGGGAAGGAAAACAATGAGACAACTGCAGTAGTGTTGTTAGGAGAAAATACAGAGTGTCCAGGGAAAGATGCGAAATAACGCCAGTACAGAGAATTTGCAGACATAAGCTACATACAATCAACCACTTAACTTTTGTAAAGACAAAGGCATGCATGCTTTTTTTCTGAGGTGATCTGAATTAAGACTTAAACAAGAAAGAAGAATTAACCATGCCAGCATTGGCAGGAAGAACATTCCAGACAGAGGACAATGAGTGTAAAGGACCTGATGGTGAACAACTTTGGCTGGTTTGAGGAGCAGGACGCCGAAGCACACTTGAGGGAGAGGGGTGACACTGAGGTTGCCCAGTCCGGTGGTTTGAATTCTTACTCATGTAATATACTGCAAAGGAAGGAGGTTTTTGCGGGGGAGGGGTTGGGGTGTTGAACCATGGTTTCACATGTAGCCCTGGCTGCACTCTTAATTCACAAATCTGCCTGCCTCCACCAGTACAGAAGGCCTGTGCCACCATGCCCAGCCTGGTTTTTGTAGTTGTTTTGTTTATTCCTTTGAGTCTGTTTTGTTGTTTGTTTTCACCTAGAGTTTTTTTATTTATTGAAAAATTTTAGTTTTGGGTTTTTTTGTGGTGTTTTTGTTTTCAAGACAGGGTTTCTCTGTATTGCTTTGGAGGCTGTCCTGGAACTCACTCTGTAGGCCAGCCTGGCCTCAAACTCACAGAGATCCGCCTGCCTCTGCCTCCCGAGTGCTGGGATTAAAGGCATGAGCCACCCACGCCCGGCTTTATTTTAGTTTTTCCAGACAGGGTTTCTCGGTATTGTTTTTGAGGCTGTCCTGGAACTCGATCTGTAGACCAAGCTGGCCTTGAACTCACAAAGATCTGCCTGCCTTTGCAGCCGGAGTGCTGGGATTAAAGGCGTGAGGCACCAACACCAGGCGAGTTTTTACTTTTTTTTTACCTATTTTATAGAGAATGATCTCTGAACAACAGAGATGGAACAACAAGAAATGAGGTAACAAAAAAGTAATTGTTGCCAGGTAGTGGTAGAGCACGCCTTTAATCCCATCACTCAGAAGGCAGAGGCAGGTGGATGTCTGTGAGTTTGAGGCCAGCCTGGTCTACAGAATGAATTCCAGGATAGCCTAGGCTACACAGAGGAACCCTGTCTCAAAATGCAAAAAAAAAAAGTTATTGAATAAGCTTATAGTGTAGATAGTAGGAGTTACCTGGGTTGGAGTAGTTGCTGTGGAAATAAAATATGAGAGTGCAGGATACTTCCCTGGGATGCAGGTGTGAAGAAAGGCATACACAAGGTAACTCTAGGTCATTTCCTTGAGCAACTAGGAGGGTGGCAATGTCATCTAGTGCAAAGGTGACTAGAGAAACACCAAAGCCTCTGACTGGAATCCAGGTGTCTCCTAGACTGACCTTTAAAATCTCACATCACCTAATCCTGAGATTAAGGCTTAGTTAAACGCTAATTTCCTAATATTCCAAAAAAACATTTATAGAACTTGTAGCCAGTTGCTAGGGACACGAAGTTGATTAAGATTGTCTTTTGGGAAGATAGCTAACTAAGTCATTTGAAAACAGTGGCACTAATGTGACAATAAAAAGTTTAAGGCAGTGACTACCTAATCATTGTATTTAGTAAGTCCGTGTTTTCAAAGCTTTCCATATAGACCCTGTCACGGTTGCCATTCTTCTGGATGTAGTAGGATCAGATGGCTTGGAGTAGAGGGAAGGGAGAATGGGGAGGAGGCATTCTTGTCCTAACTTCTTTTTTTTTTTTTTTTTTTTTTTTGGTTTTACAAGACAGGATTTCTCTGTATTGTTTTGGAGGCTGTCAGTCCAGCCCGGCCTCGAACTCACAGAGATCCGCCTGCCTCTGCCTCCCGAGTGCTGGGATTAAAGGTGTGCACCACCATCGCCCGGCTTGTCCTAACTCCTAAGTAGTAGAATAGTGCTCAGGAAAAGGAAGGAGGAATTTTCAAAACAGGAGAACAAGATCTAAACCCTTCAGACAAAAAGAAGCCATGTCCATGAAACACAGAGGTAGCAGAGTGTCCTTAGCTATAGGGCACTTCCTAAGAAGCAACAAGAGACAAAACTGAATTTGTAAGCCAGTGTGTCTGACACATTCTGATTCAGACTATCATAGACAGTGGGGAGCCAAGTAATGGATGTTAAGTAAGAGGGACTCATGATCTAGAAGACCTTACTGGACAAACGCAGCTGGAGTGGGTAGGTGAATTAGTAATGTGTAATATAGGTGAGATGATAAAGAGCCAGTTTAGACAATAGCCAAGTGGGGTAGAAAGAATGAGGAGAGAGATGAACGAGGAAAGGGCTGGGAATGTAGCTCAATTGGTAGCCTGATTGTCCAGCAAACGACGCCAGAACCATATCACCCAGTCATGACGATGCCCATGCATCACCCCAGCATTGAGATAAAGGCAGGAAGATCAGAAACTCAAAGCTATCCTTACAACATAGTGACTTTGAGACTAGGCTGGGCTCTGTGGGATTCTGCCTCCAAGAAAAGAGGAGTTGATGTTTGAAAGATGATTAAAAGAACAGATTAAAGTAGTATTTTGTGGGAGCTAATTCAGAATTTGACTTAGAAAGCAGGGTGGCAGAAATTAATGCTGACAGAGGCAAGGATCTACATCCTGAAGAAGGAACAAGAATAAGCTTTACTCGGGTTAATGTTTAAGCCACATTACTCCACTCCTGCTAAGACCTGAAGGAACTGAACAAGAGGAAATCAAAACAGCCTTCATGTTTTCTCTGGTTATATCAACAATGCATATTTGCTACAGGCAATAAGATCAAATGCAGAAAAGTACAGGGGTTAATGGTTTAGCTCAAGAGAGGACTTGCCTAGTAAACTCAAGGCCCTAGGTCCAGTCCCCAGCACCAGAAAAAAAAAGAAGAAAGAAAGAAAAGCACAAATACAAAAGTGAGTTAATATTTTAATTAAAGACTAAATGTTGATGTGAAGGAAGAGACAATGGCTTGCACCTAGGCTCTGAGTCCTAAGCTTTACAGAAAGTCAAAAGAAGAAATGGGACTTAGAAAACATGTGACCATTAGTAGGGCATTTTGATGCACGCCTTCAATCCCATTGCTCAGAAGGCAGAGGCAAGTGGTTCAAGGCTACCCTGGTCTTCATAGTAAATTCCAGGCTAGTCAGGAAATGGAGGAACCCTGTCTCAAAAAAAGAAAAAGAAAACCAAAACACAACAGCAAAAACAACAAAAAACCTGAAGTTTTTTGTTTTGTTTTTTTTGAGACAGGGTTTATCTGTGGTTTTGGAGGCTGTGCTGGAACTCACTCTGTAGATCAGGCTGGCCTCTAACTCACAGAGATCCGCCTGCCTCTGCCTCCTGAGTGCTGGGATTAAAAGCGTGCGCCACCACCGCCAGGCGCAAATCAGTGTTTTATTAAACCAGTTTGAGTGACAAATCTTTACAGTGTACAAGAGGATTATTTCACAGTATTTCCTCCTTATTGTTTAATTAAAAAGGAAGGTTTTAACTTTAACACTAAAACCTTCGGGGTTGCTGGGCGTTGGTGGCGCACACCTTTAATCCCAGCACTCGGGAGGCAGAGGCAGGTGGATCTCTGTGAGTTCGAGGCCGGGCTGGTCCGACAGCCTCCAAAACAATACAGAGAAACCCTGTCTCATAAAAAACAAACAAACAAACAAACAAAAAACACTGATTTGCCAGTATCCAGACAGGAAGTATAGGCGAGGTGACCAAACTAAGGATGATGGGAAGGAGAAGGGCA